CAAAATAATAATAGTAATGATATTTAAACAATGAAATTAATAATAATAATAATATTGATGATACATTTCTACAATACTTACTATGATAATAATAATTATTATTCTTCACAAATGTTATGTAGTTTTTTCGAAATGATATGAATGAGAATGGCATCCCAACTTTCAATACGTTATTTTAATAAAGACAAATTTTCATATTTTTAAATATATCCTTTAAAATGTTTCTAGCCCTTTCGTAATTTTCGTTAGTTGCTTCCATCCTAGTAATCAACTAGCATCATCTCCCAAACATGAACTGTATATAGTGTGATTTTTGTACGCCTGAAAGATTATTTTCATGACTTATGATAAATTCGAATTTATTATCAAAAAAGTGGAATGGTGATATTCGGTAATTTGATGTTGCTAGTCGAAGAAGAGGAAATGCTTGTATTGAAATCAGTTGTTTTTGATTCTTGTTCTGAAATAAGCTGGTTTGATTTTTCCAGGCAGTTATAAAATGCTGTTTCAAACATGGGAAAACTCTTCGTTTGATACTTTCGTTTCATCGATTAATTCAATGCTGGTATGTAAAAAGGTTATATCATTCTAAATCGAATATATTGTTTTCTTCGCCCAATGTGAAATTTTCAAGATATTCTGAGAATCTTGTTAACTGCCCTCGAATTGCCCTGTACTTCGATGTTAGATTGCCTATATCTGTCATGATTACAAATAATCTGATTGACGATGAATATAATATAAAATCGATTTCTTTGGAATATGGAAGGTAGCTAATGTGCTGAAAAAGTAAGTACTAATAATAAAACCAATGAGTATTTTATAAATTATACCTATTATGTTGAATTGTAATTATGTACTGACTCAGAAAAGAGAAAAATACAGAATTCAACCTTATTTATTGCTGTTGTGGAACGATATCCTGATGTTACTTCTGTTATACCAGCTGCTTACGGTTGTCTGCTCTGTGTCTGGTTGCTTAGCCAGCCGCTAACATCAACCGTTGTCTGGAAATTGGTGCTTTTCTTGTGCCCTCCGATCGACTCGATGTTATATTCCTGAATGACGACTCTCGTTGAAGTTCATTGTTTTCTTGAATAGACAAATCCGGCTCGAAGGACCAGTTAGTTATTGGGTTGTTTGATATGATATGATGATATTGATGATTGGTTTTCTGATTGTATTGATTTTATTGATGAATCTATGTTTCAACAACTCGTCGTCATGTTAACAACAAATGAAATCTAATACTATATAGGGTAATTCAAGTACCCAACTACTATATGGATACAAGTAAAGTTACTGAACATATCCTCGAAACACAAGGTTTTCATATTCTTCGCGTCTGTCTTCGGGCACTTGATTATTGTGCAGTACTAGAGGAATCGAACCGGTTCTAGTTTTGTCTTATAAATCAGTACAATAAGCGATGATACGTTGGTTGTTCCCCAGGTAGATACACCAATTACAAAGTCCAAGATTCCATGATGTGTAGCCAGTCTCGTCCAAGAATGGCTTCTTCAGTCAGGTTTTCCATAACCAAGAATTCAGCTGATAGCTGGTGATTTTGTAATGAAACAAAAGTTGGGATCTTGCCTTCAGTTTTGAGAGAATGACTTCCATCAGCTAGATGAACTGACAATGAAAGCAACTGCTCTTCGAGGTCTCGAAACAAATCTGTTTGGAATGAATGGATGACTTGCTCACATTCAACAACAGACATGAAACTCTATTCGTCGGTACCTTGGATATTAACTATTAGAATCCGTCTTTTGGGACTCGTAAGTCTCAGATAATTTATTCAGCTGAATTCGATTCCAAAAAAAATTTTTGGGGCAAGTCAGAACTTTCTCGGAGGTCAGAGTTGCCGATTTTCAATTCTATGATTTTTATGTTCTATGGTTTGTAACATCATTGGAGAAGTGTACCTTCTTGGCTTGTTTTTCAAGGGTGCTTGAGTAAGATAAAAATTTTAAGTTTGAAACTGACATGACACTGCAATGGAAACACTAATAAATTAAATCCTTCATAAAAGAACCAATCCAACGCTTTGCTTTACTCAAATTATATTCCAAGATGTAGCTTAATGATTTCCTCCCAGATATACGAGCTACTTCTTTCAGGATGCTGTTAGTTTGATCGGTTTGTTGTGATAGGCGAACTATACGAACATGATCATTCTCGAAATGAACATCATAAAACCTCACCATGAAAGCTTCCTTCAGATGGAGAATAAGACTCCATAGGGATTGATGAGCATGACAAATTGATAAAAGTGCATTTAAAATGGGATGGGTTTTTCCCGAAAGTATTTTTGGCAGTTCAGTACGTATTTTCGTCTGAAAAATATGAATTTCATAATGAAAACGTGAACAAACGGCTATTTATTGAGATATTTTACGAAGAAGTTTGAAATGCGTCACCGTCTTTTGCCACCCATCTTGGATATTCATTTACAACTAATTTTCCTTCTTTTTCCATCACAGGACACTTTATATACTTACTCACGTTGTACTTCAATAACACATTTTATTCACTAAAATCAACAAGAAGTATGGTTTATTTGGAATTTTTTCATATGCAAATGAGGTAAACAATATAATTTGGTTTCTCGCAAATTATTTTTGACATTTGACCTTTCTTTGACATCTCGTATTTCTGAGATGGGTATGATGTGTTTTTGAATTGGTAATTGAATGGCCATCAGCTTGTGTTGGTGTGATTGTTTACCTCACTAAAATATGAAAAAATTCCAAATAATTAAACCATACTTCTTGGTGATTTTAGCAAATGAAATGTATTATTGAAGTACAACGTAAGTATATGAATTGCCCAGTGTTGGAAAAAGATGGACAAATAGTTGTGAATGAATATCCAAGATGGGTGGCAAAATAAGGTGAAATTTCGAACTTTTGCGTAAAATATCTCGATAAATAGGGGTTTGTTCACAATTTCATTGTGAAATTCGCCTTTTTAGACGAAAATACATAAGTAAAAAAAATTTCGAAAAAAACCCATCGCATAATAAGTGCACTTTTACCCAAGAAATTAAATGAAAACGATTTTCAGTTTATCAGTATCAGGAAAGGCTGACATTTTTCCAAATTACAAAACGCCATATATTGAAGAGTTTCCAATTACGATACTTTTTTGAATTAACTCGGCCGTTCCTGATAGAACCATAGTAGATGTAAAAAAAATCACAAACGATGATTTCTTATCGTTTGAGATAGCAATACCTAGGTACTGTCCATATTAAATCGGCGGACTCTGTATAGATCCAGGGCCTACTCTATAGTTCGCGTTAACTCATGACAATATACCCTATATACCAAAAAATACATTGGTACCTCTTTTCAGTAGTAATATCCCTAGGACATTGAAAATAGACGAGATAATTTTATGACAATCGAAAGATCTTTGCTTGGTAACGGCTGGAAGCCATAAAATTCATAAAATTATAAGGCATTTGTCAATGTCCGAGGGATATTCGGCTGAAAATAATTTGAAGTTGTCAATTACGATCGTGTCGTCATAGTGATTGATAATTGCACTGAATGCAGTTATCAAAATTCATTAATATGATAGTGCTGGAAATAACAGTTTGTAATTTTGTGGGTCTCATCAACAATAATTGAATGTCACTGGACTGATTTTATGCACCATCTTTTTTTACATACATGAACTCAAACGAATGTACACTGTTTGGTGTCATAGTAATGATTCACGTGGTCCTCAGTTATTGTTAAAGCCCATATATTATGTAGTAAAACATTGTACCTGTATATATTTGTGCTCAATTTTTGAAAATTTTGTGCCATTAAAATATTGATAGTTGTATACTAGATAGGTTAGTATGTATAATAAATTATGATGAAACCAGAGTATAGTGAACTTAATTATCTCCACCCCTATATTATTCACCTTTTACATCTCTATACATTGAGCCTCGTCTCGGATGACCATTGCCTTGGGACGTCTGTCGCCACAAATGGTTATGTTCTTGCTTCCTCAAATGATGTGCAACCAATAAAAAAAAAGTAGGCCCCCACACTACTAATATGACCTATCACCTCTGTGTCGCTGTTAATTCAGATAATTATATTTCTGTTCAAGAGATGCCCTTCTGGTCGGTAGCTAAATTTGTTCAAATGGAACACGCTTTTTATTTCCATTGCAATCAATTCACCGCCCCCTCATTACTCTAGAGTCACTAGATGGTATTAGTAAGAGTTTGGACACAGCTGAACTTCTGTCCTTTTCTATTTTTCATATTACAAATGGTTTGAGTGAATTAAAGAATAAGACATATATATTCTGCTCTCGTTCTTTTCAATTTCCCTAGTAGGGTATAAACGCCCACTTAAATTTATAGCGATACACTTTTTGCAGAACAGTTATAAAAATGAAATGAATGCATGTAACAACATTCCAATATGACAAAATACACATATGGATATACTTATAGCTAGTTCCCCATTATTGCTAACTATTTCGAGTACAGTTTTGTAAATAGGTGGAACAGCAAATTTTCTCAAACGGGTCCTAAGATGTTCTGTTCGATAGTGGGCCTAAAATATAATTTCATCCTAATCTGATGTTATAATAAGAAGTGAATTGCGAACATATTGTGGATATCTCTCGGACTATTTTTTGATTTCGATGTATAAACTACTATCAGTTTTCTATTTGCCAGCGGTTTTTGTAAAATAACTTGAATTAGCGATAGAGGTAGTTTCTTTTGATCATGGAATTTACGATTATTTCATTGTCAAGAATTTCAAATGATGTCAAGAAAATCAAAATTGGTTGAGACATAAATGAAGCAGAAAATGAATCAGTTTTTTCAACACTCGATACATTAAATCTGCTTTCATGAAATAATAATCCAGAAAGGATGCTACATTGTCGTTCTAAATGAAAAAAGTATAAAGCGAGTACCAATTTCAAAAATACCGATTTAGGAGTTTGAATTTCCTGTAAAGCTACCTGAATTGAACTTCGTTTCAATTAAAAATCAATTTTAATAACAAATATTCAATACATACATTAAGTCTTGAATGGAATTCCTGGTATGTTCAGAGTGTTTTGTACTTAAGGCTATCAAGGAAACATCATCAGTGTCATAAAAAAGTATCAATAACCTAACTCTTCAAGGTACCTACCAATCCCAGACAAGATTATTTTTTCAAATATTATACATTTGAAAATTAACTATGTACCAATGATGTTAAACAATATTCCCATATTATTCAAAGAACATTGAATCCAAACTAGCTACAAATATATGGTAAGTACAATTGACTAAATTTTGGAATGGGCTCGATTTGCAAATAACTTTGATTCAAGCAATCAGATGATAAATGAGTATGATAACCTCATCATAGCAGGAAATAGAATATTATAGACCCAGGTGGAAAGAGGTAAGTATACTATTTAATTCACAACCATTAGTTTTCGATGCTCTGGAATCTACAATTGACATTTTTACATTATTGAATAGAAAACATGAAATGAATTGTGTATATAAAAACCTTATGATTTCTTCATTATATTAGAATACACAAACCTTATAGTAAAAAGTTAAGGATATATAGTTCTAAGATGGTTCAATAATTGCAGTATGAGAATTATAGTTCTTCATGAAAACCAAAACCAAAAATCACAATTTTCATAGCTAATTTAGATTAATCTTCTGAACTAGTCCATATTCGAAGTGGAGCGGAATCATCTAGAAATATCTTAAAGTGGTCTCCACAAAATTTATTAGATTAGCGATTATGCTTCAAAAGCTTATGAGATTGGCAAGTGCTTTCAAACCTTTTTGAAGCAGGATCAACTGCATATTCGCTAATTAACTTAGTGGAGATGACTTTGAGACCTTTCATCCTTGATTTAGATTAGTTGATCTACATTGTTCGATATTTTATTTGAATATCTTGCACATGTAAATTTAAAAAACAATATCACAACATGTTTACCATAATATAACTAATTATTGATCTTCCATAAAATCAAAATGGAATCAAGTTATAGGAACCTAATCCCAGGGTGATAATCTAAATCAGAATAAATTATCAATGGATAGGAAAAAGCATACTTCAAGTCCTCATATTAGTCTTATGTCACATATTATTATGATTTTGAAGCAAATATAAGTTGTTGAAGAATGTATGTATACGATACTACTGCAGAGAAGTAAATTCCATCTTTTCAAAATACTTCAAGAGACCCTGTAGTCGTCTTTTAACTTTCTTCTGATCATCGATGGTACATCCAAGCAAAGCAGACTCAAAATTCTTATTTGTTATGCCTTCCACATTTGAGGAACAGGCATTCATATAGCTGACACATTTGGATTGGGCAGCCTCTGGATCCACCTTTAAGGCAACTACAAGGCCGTCAATCAAATGGTTAACTTGGAAAAGAGCTTCTTCCTGCATTTTGTCACGTTGTGTGAGTACTTTAACTTCTACTGTCAGACATCTACTCACTATACGATCTGCATATCTATTGACATCATCTCTATCATCTGAAAAGTTTTAGAATGAAAATCACTTTCAGAATTAGGTACCTACATGTTCATAATGGATATATATTTTTTCTACTAGCGTGCGGAAAAGTCCCCTTTTTCGCACCCATTTTAGTATTGAAAATTGTTTCGCCCTAGAGCGGAAAAAAGGATTTTGGTTTTTTCCGCACGCTAGTAGAAAAAATAGTGTACCTAACAAATGTGTAAAGTGACTTTTCGCACTTGTTAGCTAAACTACTATTTCCGTCGACCTCGTATTAACGACTAAGTTTAATGTATATGAAATCGTTCATTAATGACCCCTATTAATGAACGATTTGTCTATTAATGCACGATTGATTTATAGGCAACCAAACATACACCGCGTGCATTCATTGTTTATGCTGTAACTTACGGAATTTGCATTTAAATCGAAAATATGGATTTCATCGAAGATTTTCCATAAACGGGTTCGCCTTTCTAAGTTTCTGACACGATTTTAATCCCTGTTTTCTAACACAAGGAATTTATTTTCTATGTTGATCATTTCGACAAATGTCAAATGTCACTAATGTCAGTAACAAAGGCTACTGGGTGATTCTTAGTAGTTTCCGGATGAATGGTGAATTCGCAAACCAAGTTTTCTTCATTGCAGGAGAAATGAGAAATGTAGTCGACGGAAAAATTTTGTAACCAACTTGTATATTAAAAGGCGATTAATACACTAGATGGTTAAATAACTATTTTCGTGGACTTCTACGAAAAATTACATTTTATGTACTAATTTCGACTATGTAATCGACTTTTTTTGAAGGAAAGTCCTTCTCGTCCGGATCAGACACTTTTCGTTCACTGCGGTCACTATGATACGGCATTGTACGACAGCGACGATTGAGTTGACAATAACTGTCAATAACAACTGTAACAAATTGATTATTCACGAAATTCGAGATTTTACGTGGACCGTGGTGTGATAAGTGTTTGAGGTCGACGAAAAAATTTAATATGCACCTCGGCGAAAAACTTTATATTGTCTCGCCTGCTTGCTAGCCTCGGCTATCAAATAATAGACAGTTTTTCGTCCTTAGTACATAAACAACTATTTCAAACTTACTGTCTTCAAGGTCATACATTAAATCTGCATTCATGACAGAATCTAGAGAGGATAGCAATGCATCTTTGTCTTCCTCCAGTTGACTAGCACCTTTCCTAAGTTTCTCAACATGAATTTCCAACAAATCAAGCATTTCCAGTATTCTTTCTTTGGGCGGCTTGGAGTTCAAAACATCATTTTCATCAATCTTCGGTAGGGTTTGCAAAACTACTGAGGTTGATAAGCCTTTAAAATACCGAATTTATAAGAATTTTAACACAAATAATAAATTCATTGTAATTGTCATTCACATGGAAGTATGAAATATGCAGAATTATCGAAGATTTTTAAAATAAATAAAATAGAAGTCAGAAAATGATTCAAAATAATTACAAAAAATAAATAAAAGTACATCAATGAGACTCCTCTTTTTGGTAAAATAATACATTATGCCTTCCCAGTTACAAGAGATTTCGCCGATATCGAAATTTCATATTTTTTTCTGGTGTTATTATCTTATCGAACGCTTTCTTTATCATACGTTCATTCACGATTACTAATCAACTGAATTTTGATGGCTGATAAATATCAATATATTCAAACCTCCACCTGAAACATCAATGAAAGTAGACTGTGCCTGTTTGGGGCGGGGGAGGAGGTGGGGCTCATCGAGAATTCGATAATTGAAGATTAAAATCCTTTGAAGTTTTGAAATAAAAAATTGTTAATAATTTTGCGAAAATAATCCATCTCCAACCGTGCCCATGTACCTCGATATTTAACGCAAAAATAAAAATAAACTAAAATACGATTTAGGGAGAATTTGCGGTTGTCCAAAAGATGAAAGCAACATTCCGGAATATTTTGACGCTATTACATATTTACTTGACGAACCCATTTCTGATACGTCGGGTGAACGATCTTTTTCGGAAAACGATCTTTTTTAAATACTCGAAATTATCTTAAACCGGCATTGAATGTAGAAATTATTCATTGATAAACATATATTTCAAAAAACGGAGATGTATCTAGAGGAGTTGACTTGATGATGAATATTGGAGAATGGAACGTCGTACGGTAAAACTGACAGGGAACATCATGAAAACTTGCTTCAAAGGATTGTTCCTCATTATGTTCTAGGTATGTTATAACAGGAGAACATTAGGTAAAATAAAAATAGAAAAATCCTCAAATACATATCTTCAAAGTGAATTCTGTAGGTAGAGAAGGAATTAACAATGCGTTGTGAATAGAACTCATCATTTAAGAGCGTCCAAACTAACCATATATAATACCTACCATAATGAAAACAAGAAAATTAAAGGTATATTTCAGGGACGAAAAGGAATCCATTTATAATCCATATTAGGTATTCAGATGGCTTTGCACAAAATATTATTTGTTCCCAAAATGCTACAACATGAATTAAAATGGTAGATTAAAATAAGTAAACTACCGAATATTATAGTCAATAAAATGTGCGTCACAGATTTTTCTGAATTTTGTATCTTCATAACTTATTGACCAACTAAAAATACAACATTTTGTTCTTATGAATTGTTTTGATAATTGGCTTCATTTCCATAGAAAAAAATGAATACCAATTTATTGCATGAATTTGTGCCAAAAAATTCCTTCAAAAACTGGGGTGAACATAAATGCGTGATCAATGTCCATAGGCATAGAGAAAGTATGAGGATTCATTTTCTTCAAATATTTCTTGATACATGTTCCACACACTCTACACACTGTATATTGAGAACTATGTATTCTCGGTCCAGGAAGACGTAGTTTTCGATAATACAAAGTGTGTCAAACATGTATTATAAAATATTTGAAGAAAATGAATCTTCATTCTTATTCTACGTCTATGGACATGGATCACTTTTGAAGCAATGTTTCGCACAAATTTATAGATGGTTGGTATTTATTTTTTTCCACGAAAACGCAGCAAAATAGCAAAACAATTCAGGAGACCAAAATGTTCTATTTTCAGTTGATCAATAGGATATGAAGACATAGACTTTTAAAAAATCAGTGGCGCACATTTTATTGACAATAATATTCGGTAGGGTACCCCCAGGACGCCACTGGATTTCACAATTCCAATTTAATTTGGCTAAATCAGCCCCTCATGACAAGAATTTCATTGCCAAATTTCAAGAGAATCGTTGGAAAGATATTTGAGATATCCATAAAAAAACGATTTTTTCTAAAAAGTTCAACACACTGTGTCTTGAAAACTATGCATTTCCGGACCCAAGTATGAATATATGAAATAAATTTCATGTTTTCTCATGCAGAATCACCCCCTTGATTTTTTGCGCACAATTCCCGGACACCCTGTATATGACGAGTACCATGTACGATATAATATCAACATTCATACTTTTTTTATTTCAATTTCATTAGGTACTGTATTTAACACCTGTGGCTTTGTCACGATGTTCTTTGGACATTATAGGAATTTCCATTCGTGCGCTCCACGATAGGAACCAAAAATATTTCACCATAGCTACTATATTCGAAGTTCCATGTTACTGTCAACATAACCACCAAGTGTCATTGAAATTAACAAAAAGACTTTCGAGTAATTGATAAAAAACGATTCCATTAGTAAAACATTCATACCCAAGGGATCATCCCCGAATTTTTTCGCACTTCGTATAACAGCGTTACTCGTGGAGTATTTGAAATTGAATGAAGGTGGATGTCATATTTTCATATTTTCTTTCTAAGAAAAAAGTAAACTTCAATTTTGCAAAGATTTCCAAGAAATTTCAAGGAATGTGAAGGAATTATTTGTGAAAGGCCAAAGTAAAATATTCCGGTGACCAGATTCACAAGCCTTCCACAGCTATAGTAATCACATAAAAAGTGGGGTTAACAGAACAAAATCTTTGATCAAGTCAAGTGAATACTTATGTCCTTCCATTATTATCTCCGTTATTGTAGGTGGACTGGACAATTCCATATACAGTAGAGATAACTACATACCATTGTTCTACAAGATAAAGAATTTAATGTATAGATTAAATTGTTTATGTGTGATATATCAAATGTAACATTCTTCATGTTTGATTGTGTGATAGCTATTGATGCAAAAAGTTCTATTCTACCCTGAAGGACACAACAAATGATTGGTGATTGGAAACAATTACTGATAGTGATGCCATAATAATAATGCCATAATAATAACATACATTTATCATGCAAACCAATATAGCACCTATTCAAAATGAAATTAAATTGACTGTTTTCTTATAAGAACATTGAATAAATTCCAATCGAAAAGTACCGACAAAATATTGGTGAACGTATCGAGATTGAAATATGAAATTCTTTTCACTGAAAATATCAAACTAGTTATATGTGGAACACAGCACATCCATTTGAAGTATGAATTTTGAGATACGAATATAAAATGAATGTTAGATTTTTCAAAATCGCAAAACTGAGTTTGGTACACATGTACCTCCAAGGCAATTGCCATCAGAAGAATTGTTATGTTCAAATTTTCTCACAAAGCAGCCAAAAAACAACAAATGCTGAATGGATATGACATTTTTCAAAATCAATTAGGTATTCAAAATCTCGCATAACTGAAATTGATACATGATATGTACAGGTTTTTCACGTATATTTTGAAACCCCATTTAACTTTTTTATTTATTGTTCAATCATTTTTTAACGGTCTTTTATAATCGAAGACTCTGATGCTATATGTAACATTTCTTAGATTTCACAGGAGGCTAAAAACTTTTTTTAGGTTGGTTTCAAGGTTATTTTAGGTAGAAATAGAAAAGTTGATCATTTTGGTCTATATTAGATGGAATTACTGGTAGAAATAAACTCGAAATTAAGAAAAAAAGGGTTTGTCCTGCAAGAAAGGTATGTGTTAACCTGTTTCAAATCTCTGTTATATAAGAAGGTGCAGGAATGGGATTAGAAACAGATCGACAGATACAACAATTTAAATGAAACTTTCTTTATTTTTTCAAATTCACTGCTTTTTCACTTCGAGGAATTAAACCGCGTCGGAATTTGGGTGTACAAATAATGGAATTCCCGGGATTTCCTAGCAGTTCCTTGGAATTCCCGGGAATTCCTTGCAGTTCCTTGGGATTATTTGGGTGAACTGTGGTGTAATTCGGGTCTACAAACAATTGGAATTCCCAGGAATTTCTCGGACTCCTTGGAATATACAACATATTCAAAATCACAAAAATATTATCTATTTAATAGTAATGAAATATATAGGGTGTTCCCTTCAGTTTAACTATTTTTCAGTTAACATGATTATATAAAATTTACAGGAAAAATTGAAGACTGATGCAAGAATTTTCAAAAATGAGATTATTCAACCAATAGGTTATAAAATAATAAACAGAATATGTTCTTTCACTGAGGTGCAAAAAATGGTAATTTGTGTGATGAAAAGTTACCGAGTTATAACACAAAAACACATAATATATCCCCCATGATGTACTGGTGCAAGAATGATATATGTGTAGTGCAACTTATCCCGTTCTTGCACCTGAAATAAAAGTAGACATTCTGACTACAGTCCCTGTATATACCTTAGACAAGAGTCCGGACACAACTATACTTCTGTCTTTTTCTGGTTTCAAAAAATGCATTGATGATTGAATAAAGGAATAAGACATATATAACGAGCTCTGTCTTTTCAATTCCCCTAGTATCAATGATTGTCAGAAACAATTTTGAGGGTTAGATTATTTGTCAAACCGTTCATAGTCGTAGGTAGAAGTGAGAAATAGGGCTATTTGTATCATGCGGTATTCTGTAAACAGAATTATACCGCATTTCACCCATTGATGGCTAATAATATAGATTATGTTTCCCTAGCTCATTCCTTAACTTTCGAGCTATAGGTTGTTAAAATTTTATTTTCTCTCTATTATTGATTAAAGAAACTTACACAATGTGAAAAACTGTCACGTATATGAATACTTCCCAAAATAAAACCGCAACGTCATCAATCAAATGTCATTATCTTAAATATAAAATACAGCACCAGCCTACTAGTTCAAAATGGTTTTATTTTTTTACGCGGAAACAGTGTGTCGGACGGAAAAATTTCGAGGAAAGGAATTGTTGCAAAATGAATGCGGATTGAAAAATGATTTTTTCTACAAACGTCAAAAAATGACAAGGTTCGCGCATTGATAACAAATTGCGAAGTGACACTTTTTTTCAGTTTCCTACGTTACCATGATACCTTGCACAAAACAATGCGCGAAGTAAAACAGTGCGCGAAGTGCCTACTTCGCGCATTGTTATGTAAAATATATGAGATATTTATGTTTCAACTGTATGGTCCTCAATCGAGCAAACATACACGATATCATGCATTTCTGAATGTTCAACAATAACTTTGTTTTATCTCTTGGAGCGCACGAAAGGAAATTCCTATTATGTTCGTGGAGCATCGTGCGTACCTAGAGAGGATATGGGGAGGCCATTCAAGCCAGTTCAACACTATTTTTTACATCAAGCTGAGCATATTTTAACTTCAGAACTATATTTTTTGACGTTTGTAGAAAAAATTTTGTTTGCAACTCGAGCGCGAAATACTTTGGTCATCTCGACTATTTTTCAACTCGGCTACGCCTCGTTGAAAAAATCAGATCTCGATCACCAAAGTAGCATTTCGCGCTCTAGATACAAAAATAACTATTTATTTTCGGAAAAAGCAAGGGCGTACAATATTTTTTTAGAAAAATGTTCAACATACATTCCATACGGACGCCACTAGCAGAAATATTTAAAAATCTCCTGCATCAAAAAATACATATTAGTGCTAAGTAGGCGCATGTCAAATTTCATGAAAATATCTAGAACAGTATTGAAGTTAAAAGAAAACGAATTTTTGAGGTTTGGGGCATAAGAACTTCTCTTCTTAAAATTAGGTAAGGAACCACATCCCATATTTATATTATATTTTTAGCCATTAATTAATTTACACCATTTATACTGTATGTTAGCTATAAAAGATTTCGAGATATATGACGAACTTCACATTTTTACTAGATTTCCTCAGATGATATCACAGCATTAAGTTTTGTAGAGTAGGTCATGAAAATGATTCCGTTCCAGGGATTGATTATGTTAACATTATTTGGTATCAAGATGGAGCACCAAGGCACAATAATATATTGTAACTATTTAAAACCTTTTGAATAAGAAATATAGCGTATATCGAAGACTAGATAGAACCTTTGGCATGATAGAACATTACATGGTTTACCACTAACCAAACCGACTTTTTATACGCCTCGACACATGTTTCGCTAACTATATTAGCATCTTCAGGGGGAGATTAAGGGGTAAATCTCCTTGGAAGTCTGGTGTACACTCTGTTGGTAGTCTTTGGAAGTCTTTGAAAGTCTTTGGAAATCTTTGGAAGTCTTTGGATGTCTTTGAATGTCTTTGGATAGCTTTGGATGTCTTTGGAAGTCTTGGAAGTCTTTGGGAGTCATTGGAAGTCTTTGGAAGTTTTGGTTTATTGGAAGTCTGGTGTACACATTTTTCCTGGAGAATTACCCCTCGGGGGAGATTAAAATTAGATATTCTATTCTATTGTGATACTTATACACGGGCCATCCCTGTAACTTCTGCATTCGTGAACGAATTTTTTTGAAATTTGGTACAGTTATACAAGTATTTTGGATTTGATCACATTAAAATACAATATAACCGGTTTCAACTGGAACATCTGTAAATGTTTAATTATTCTGTTCAATAGGTCAAAACAAGTGCAATCTTAATGTCAAATGTACTTTTTTCGAAAATAGTGAAATTGAAAGTTTTTTTTTTATTTTACCTCGTGGGTAAATGAGATGTGGTCAAGACTATTCACAATGATTCCCACATACTAGAGAAACATTTTTCAAAACTCCTTCATCCATAGAACTGCTAGGCTCTGGAATTCATTGCCTGAGGAAGTATTCCCAACAACATATAATCTCCAGAAATTCAAAAAAATTTCAATACCTACCTCCTGTCCCTATCCTCCCTAGGAACGCACGATGTTCTTTGAACATTATAGGGATTTCCTTTCGTGCGCTCCAAGCGATTAAAAAAAACAAAAACTATTTTTTGCATCACATTCTGATCAAAAATTTATTTTTTTCAAATGAAACCCCTATGGGTCACCTCCATGCCTCTCTAGAACATACATAGCGGAAAAAAATTACATATCATTTTTGTATTTTCGTGCAGTTACAAATTGAATACTTTCAAAAATCAATAACTAGTTTCGTGAATTTCCCTGCAGTTCGAATAATTTTTCAAGAATGCTGTGGAAAATAACAATTTCTACAAACGTCAAAAAAAGGTTCACGAATTGATAACAACAATTTGCGAAGTGACACTTTTTTCAGATGTTACCATTACCATAACACCATGTGCTAAGCAGTGCGCAAAGTAAACAGATTCGCTAAGTACATACTTCTTGCATTGTATGTAAACTATATGAGATTTTTGTATTTAAACTTCATGGTCCTCAATGGACCAAGAAATGATTTCTGAATGTTTAACAATAATTAAGGCATTTTGAGCCAGTTCATTACTATTTTTTATATTAGGCTAAACATATTACCACTGCTATTACTACTTTGGAACTACATTTTTTGACGTTTGTTGAAAAAAATTTGTTTGCATCTCATGTGCGAAATACTTTGGACTATTTGACTATTTTTTCAGCTCCCGATCACCAAAGTGGCATTTCGCGTGATAGGTACCAAAATAACTAATTTTTGATTCTTGTCATAAAGATTGCACTTATTTTAACCTGTTGAATTTGAATATGTGAAAATGTACAGTGTTCCATTTGAAAAAAACGAAGTTGCTGGCATTTCCATAAGAACCGGAAGTCCGCCATATTGGATTGTAATGTCATAAAATCCGAAATGGTGGCTTACATGACTGTACCAAAATTCAGAAAAATCCGTTGACGAATGCAGAAGTAACAAGGATGGTCACCTTAATCTTATATCACTAAACTCATATATCTTCTACTCATATATGAAGCATAGCTGTCCTCAAAGCGGGACCGTCTCCATAGGTAACGAAATCGACCAATAGGCGTTGATGCCGACGTAGGGAAAAAATAATACGACAATATGGCTACCTATTTCAAATTTTCATCTTTCACTTTCCGTCCTTATAGATTCAAAAAGTACCTCTCATTTTGGTCCCATTTTGTTGGCGATGCGCCATATATAGAAATAGTAGATAAATATGACTAAACTATACAGGACCATATGGAATAGGTCCATTATCTTCATTCATTACTATTACTCTAGATGCTCTAGATTAGGGTCACTGGATGATATCAGTAACTGATACCATCCAGTGACTCTAGTCTAGATGTTCAGTACTACCAGGAAAATGATATTCAAATAACAATTTGTATACAGCAGAGTTTTTGTACCAAAGTAGATAGATCGTTTCTTAATTCTATACTTTGCAGTTCGCTGATCTAGAAACTGAAAAAGTATGCAAAGTAGACTGTGAAAACACTGTGAGTGATGATCTATACTAATATTATGAAGCGTAAAGATTTGATTGTTTGTTTGTTTGTTTGTTTGTTTGTTTGTTTGTTTGTTTGTTTGTTTGTTTGTTTGTATGTATTGAATAGGCTCCGGAACTACCGGATCGATTTGGCTGAAAATTGGTGGGCAGGTAGCTGAACCAGGAGAAGGTTCTAGTATACTTTTCATACCAGTACCATTAGGAAATTCAAGATGGCGGATTTAATATATCGGACGAATTTTATAATTATAATCCGATTCTTTTCAAAATTGGTACCTAGGAGTTTTCGTGTTCGGGGATTATGATTCCTTCGTCAAAATCAAGAAATTCGAGATGGCGGATCCAAAATGGCGGATTTTGTAATTAGGATCCAATTTTATTTGTTATCTGGTGGTTCTCGGGGTCGGAGATTATGATTCTTTCGTCAAAATTAGGATCAAGATGGCGGACCCAATATGGCGGACGAGTATTGTAATTATGATCCGACTATCTTCAAGATTGTTTTCTGGGTGTTTTCGGGGTCGAGGATTATGATTCTTTAGTTAAAATTTGTAAATTCAAGACGGTGGAACCAATGAACGAGTTTTGTAAAATTATGTACCGATTCTATTCAAAATTTGTAAGTGGGCGTTTTCGGTATCAAAAATTATGATTCCTTTGTCGAAATTAGGGAATTCAAGATGGTAGATCCAATATTGCGGACGAGTTTTGTAATTAAGTTCCGATTCTATCCAAAATTTTCACAAATCCAATGATGACCCTGTTGAATTGAAAGATCATCAGATACTTGATACTATGGGATGAAACAAACTTGAGGTGAAGCTCAAGGTGCCTAAGGTATATTGAAAAGTTTGCTCAATAGTTGAGACCACATACTATTTTAGTTTGGTAGCAATAATTTTTGGTAATATATTTATAAACCAAGCTGTTCCCTGAACAAGTTTTAGACAGCTCATCTGACATTTTCTGGAAAATATCATTTTTAAGAGCTGGAAAATTGAAAATTTCCATTTTATGATATTCACACAAAAATGCAGAGCAAATAGACACAACAGGTCGAAAAGGGTGCAGGAAATTACTGCATAGTCCATGATATACAATATGACACCTTTTTACAAGAATCAACAATTAAAGAATCTCTGAAAGCTGATTGATTAATCTAATTATTCAACAAATCAGCTTCTTAATCGAATTGATTATTCTCTCGATTATTCTTGCTGGGTTCATAACTGCAACATTGAAGCAAAACAAATATTTATAACATTTTCATAACATTAAATAGTGGTAAGTACATAAACATAGCATACCTGAAGAGCTCCCGGGTAGTGGATCAACATCCATGCCGGAATTTTCCTCGTAACTATCCAGCTTATTTTTCTTATAAAGATAATTCACTCTAATTGAACAATTTGAGTGTGAATCAGATAAAAATAAGAACTTCCATGAGGGGTTTGTTTTAAGGTTTTTTAAATTACTATAACTTTCATCTCATCGAAGTTGTGGCTAATGTGATGATATGATGATATGAATGACTGATTGAGTGATTGATATCCGTGATATGACTGCTGACTGTGATGTGTGGTGTGAGTGAACTTTGACAAGACTGTGATGTGACTGTGACTCGAAACGTCACTGACGACAGACCAAATAGACCGACAGACGACGTACGACGACGTAAATACTTGAAAACTTGTCAAAGTCAAAACCATGAAACCATCGAAACCTCCACAGTCAGAACCGTCAGAACAAAGATTGTACATAATATGTGGAACAAAATTTGGAATAAAATCACCTAAATCTGCCTAAATCGTGATCTGAAACCTCACTTAAGAGTTAAGTAGAGATTAACGTTGTTGGTGAAACCGGGCCTTAATCACCAAATCTGACTGAGCTTGGATTCTCGAATATAAGAATTCATCTTTACCGTACTTTGTACATACAGGGTGATTCAAAAGTAAGCGGCATCCTTTCAGAGGCGTATTCCTTGCTTGAAAATAAGGCAAAAAGTTCCTATTGATAAGGATCCGAAAATGCTTCCTAAGGGAGCTACGGCCCTTTGAATAGGACACCTCAAAGACGGTTTTTTCTCTATAACTTTAAAATCCTTCACAACAAATTTTTAAAAATTGGTGTACGGCATAAACATTCGATGGTAAATAGGACTCCGTATTCGAAATTTCAGAATTTCATTCAGGGGCGTCACATGCGGGAGAGGGTAAGTGTAAAAATATCCCTTCTTCTCCGGATATTCAGGTTACTGTGATTTCGTTTGGAAATTATAAAATTCTAGAGTTTTTTACGTGAAAAAGGTCCTCCTAGTTCATGTCGATAGAGCGTACCATTTAGGAGAAAATCGACTTTGAAGTTTAAAGTTATAGAGAAAAAACCGTCTTTGAGGTGTCCTATTCAAAGGGCCGTAGCTCCCTTAGGAAGCATTTTCGGATCCTTATCAATAGGAACTTTTTGCCTTATTTTCATGCAAGGAATACGCCTCTGAAAGGATGCCGCTTACTTTTGAATCACCCTGTATACCACGAGTTGTACCACGAGTGCCTGTTGGCTGTTCGAGAGTTGAAGCATTGTCGGCTAAATGTGAAAAAAAATCAAGTTGCCTGGATGCTATGATGGAAGTAATTCACCATACGTAGACCTCCACGTAGACGTTAACGTATGGAAAATAACATTAAATTTATGTATTGTCTTTAAATTGAGTTGAAGTCGTATCTGTCATGGTAATAACGTAATAATAAATTATGTTTTCGGATTTGAATTGGCCATTTTTTGTTTAGATCGGAACATTTATTCGTGCTAAAATGAGACAACTCTTTGGTGCAGAACTCCTTGGGGACCCGGAATAACTATTAGCATACTTCGAGTGTAGTTTGGTAAACGTACGTTGATATTCAAGGTATACGTGAAAGTACGTGAGATAACGTACACCCGTAAGCCCACTATCAACGCAAACGTGAAGAATTGGAAAATGCGCGTGCGTAGCTGTCTTTTCTACGTTTACGTTAACGTTCATGGCAACTCTTCAACTATCTAGTTGACTTCAGTCTCCCGTCGAGCAAGTAACAAAAGATTGACATAGACACCACAGATTCAAACCTTAGTTAATCTGTGTAGACACGTTATCTCATTTTGTAGTGTTACAGATGTGCACTTTGTGGTGGGCTTTCCTGTGGTTTTCATCATAATTTTCAGATTGTGTGTGTTGGGGTTTTCTCTGCTATAGCGAAAATGACACCCTTCTGTTTAATCAATGTTATGATGTAACCAAACTTTTTTCGTTACCACGTGAGCATTCCATTTTATAATCAATTTTTTGCAATAATTCACATTCATTCTAGGACAAAATTGATGTAGCAATTTTGATCAGGCTGAGGATGGACATATATTTGTCCGAAACATGTACCAATTGATTTGATCGTTTGATCATATCGAGATGTCGTGGAGATGATTTAGAGAGTATTATTTGGTAGTAAAAGAAACATACAATGCCAATGTAAGATCGAAACTCATAGATTATCCCAATGGATTCCGTTCGTTTTGGTCCCTCGCTAAAGCAGTCGGGAGGAATTTCACTAATAATTAATTCCGACATTCTCCAAAGTCAACGACACTTTAGCAACAATAACATCTCAGGAAAAAGCAAAAATATTTTTGCAAAGATGTTTGCAGCAAACTCTACTTTGGATTCTCAAGAAAAAGTGCCGCCAGATATTCCACCCGTTAAAATTAGAATGCCCGAAAGTGTCTGTCATCAACGCACTATCAGACGCATTTTGCTTGGTCTCAAAACGAATAAGGTTAACAGTCCTGATAGAATTCCACCCATTAACCTCCGAAATGTGCACCAGAATAATTGACACCTATTCTCTGCAAGTTATTCACCATCTCGTACAAATCGGGTATCTTTCCATCATGCTGGAAGATAGCTAGAGTCCAACCATTGTCGATCTAAATGAAAACCTAGTAGGCGACCTAGTGCGAGGAGGTTATTATAGCTCCTGCCTACTAACTACCTAACTAGGTTGTCATCTAGAACGACAATGGTCCAACCAACCAACCAACCAACCAACCGAAAAAGGGAACAAAAACCTTCCCAACAACTAACAGGCCTATTGCCCTGTTATCAGTAATCTCCAAAGTGATGGAGAAAGCCATCAACATTGAGCTTATCAAATATCTGGAAAGCTCAGGAATCATCAATAATAGACCATATGGCTTTCGCCACCGAAGGTTAACTCTGGAGATTTACTCGCCTACGTCACCCATATATGGCGAGCTTCATTAGAAAAATTGAGGAATCTCTAGCTGTGGCATTAGACATATCGAAATCACTCGATCGTGTTTGGCACCAACGACCCCTTCTCCAAATACCATTATACGGCTTACCACCTCATCTATGCCATATTTTAGCGGGTTTTCTTTCAGGCAGAGATCACTCCACGTGGTGGTGGACGGTGTATAGATTGTTACGATATTACGATTTGTCATGAATCTATTACTATTTGCTGTTAGTACTAAAATATGATGTTTCGTTACTAAAAAATCTATTTCTATGTTCTATATTTATGTCATAAGTTCTGTGTGACTTCTGCCTCATTCCTGTCAAAACTGTCCAATTTGTGCGATATGGTTTGACAAGAATGACATTCAGAATGTCAAATGTCAGATTTTTCGGATCTATTAACTTTTGATACAAATCTGTTACAATTTTCCCAGAAAATCTATTACGAAAAAATCAGACCCAGATAATGCCATCAGTTTTGGCGTTCCACAAGGAGCAATTTAGGCAACAACATTGTTCTTACTTCATATCAATGATCTGTTGTGAGCAACCACTTGCCCTATTCACAGTTTTGCAGATGATAGTCAGTACTCTCCATACTGCGTTTTCTTCCAGAATTTCCATTCCTTTCCAGGAAACTGAGAACTTACAGCGAAGGCAGGACAATGCTGTCAATGAAGATCTTGCTAAAATCATAGCCTGGGGACCCAACAACCTAGTTGAATTCAACGCCGCCAAAACTCAAGCCTGTCTTTATCTAGAAAGGCGGAACACAGTATGCCTGATATAACAATGTCTGGTATCACCATTCCAACCAAATATCAACTATATCTATGTTCAGTGTCTTCATCAGCAATACTCTTTAATGGGATAATCATTTCAGAAACATATTCAGGGATATTCTCTACTATCCTAAAATAATAAGAGTTTTGTTGATTTTTTTTTGTTTTGCGATTTGGCATGATATTTAATTTATCGGATTTGGGTTATTAGATGATGAGTATCTTCAAAATATTTTTTTATGATAGGACAGGCATATGAACGAAAAAAGTAGTAGTGGCAGCACGAAGCACGTTGTAAAAGCCGGCAATGAATCTTTTGGAAATCTCAGTAAACTATTAAAAACAGTGATCCATGAATCCACGTATCACAACACGAAAATCCTACACTTGTTTCAATGAAACCCATACCCAATTTCCTACTTTTCTCGTGTTCTTATTGGAAAACAACCGAATAAAAGCTCAAAATAACAGAAGAAAAATGACTTCTCCGCAAAGAACGACAAGTAAACCGCTCCTGGCCTCTAGTGGAGTATACACTGAACTGAGCGATTGGACAGTCATGTGCGTCAGACAGTCTAGCCGTCATTGCTAAAACCCAAACCAAGATTTGCTAACGGTGGAGCCGCCGAAATTAATAACCGATCGACAGCAGTGATGCCAAGTTGATGCACGTTTGTTATTGTTGATTATTGTTAGTGGTACTTTTATTCTTGATGTCATTTATGTTTTGACCTCAAAAGTGGCCTCCTTCCTTCTTTCTTATGCAAAAGGGATATTTCTTTCGGTCGCGTTTGATGCGTGATCTGATTTCGACACGAATTCGACGAAGCACTCTCGTTGTCATTCTCGCGTATGCAGTGAATTCATATACCCCAACGGTCTAGTAGTTAGCGCTCATTTGGCATCACCGCCGTCTTTCGGTAGTGAGTCTAACTTGCTAGCGGAGTAGCCGCCGAAATTACCCGAACATACACCGAAAGAATGAATGCATTTTCATACCAAAATCAGAACGATTCGCGCTATGGCGGTGCATTCGAATTGAATTGTGATTGAATCCGATGATAATAATTAGTATTCAACAAAATTAAATGGAATGAGACAATTTACCCTTAACGAACTAACCTTTTTCTTATTGTAAAAACACATTGATTGATAATTATAAAAGTTGAGTTCTTCAACAAAATTGAATAAAATGAGACTGTTCATCCTAAACGCACTAACCTATTGGACTTCGAATATTTTCTGAGGAAGGATAACCAGAATGTAGTGAAAAAGCATCGGTGAAAAAAAAAAGTTGTGAAAAAAAGTTCAGGTTCACAGCGACTCGAACCATGGACCTTCAGACTGAGAGTCAACACTTTAAAGACTTTTATTGTTCACACATATTACATTACAGCACAAATTTTACAATCACATTTCAGAAAGCAGGGCATCTCGCTAGGGCTCAAAGCTCTGTGATGGGTCCTCCGCGTGGTGCAGAGGTGACTGGGGTTGGCCAGGGAATGTGGGTGTATTTGTGAAGTGTTAGTCTCAGAGGCCTATCTCCTGGGGCCAAGCCCCTTATATAGGTGATCTCACTGAGGTTACCCAAGAGGGTGGGGGAGCTGATCAGTCGCTATCAGTGGTGGGTGGTTTGTAGGGGGATGGAGGAAAAAAAATAATTACAAAACAAAAACCTCCTGCTCGTTAAGCTCGGTGTCGGATCGTCACTGTGGGTGGGATCCTTCACTATTTATTTTCATGCCTTGAGAAATTGTGCTGTCTAGATCTTCTCCGAAGCCATGCTTTTGCTGCGATGCTCCGGGGAAATTCCCGACTATAGATTTTCAAGATCTGCAAAAACATCAGTTGATGCATATATCAGCCCGTGTTTTTTACGTATTTTGTGGTGTTGTCTGGTTTGTGTTATATTCCGGGTAGGGTCACTTGTTAGCCGTTTTAATAATGTAATCTCTAATTCTAGGCAAATTACCACATCTCTCGTGAAGATCTGCCACTCGCGAGTATCGATCACCGTTGGTGATTATACGAAGTACTTCGTTCTTCTGCACATGAAGTCTGTCCATATGCGTTGGTGGGATGCTGCAGAAACACCGGGCACGCGTACGTCATCACAGGTCTAATAACTTGCTAGTACACCAGGACCTTGTTCTCCACAGAAAGTGGAGAGGTCCTGGATAACAGCGGGTACATCTTCTTGATGGCACCTTGAGTTTTTTGAATAATATATTTGGTATTAGACCTGAGAGTCATACGAGTGTCCAGCTTAACCCCCTGGTATTTCACAGGAACCGTGTCCGTCACCTCGATCCCTTTGACGGTCAAAGGTCTGTGCAGCTTGGAATCGTTGACTTTCTGGTGGAAGTTGATCACTTCCGTTTTCGCGCTGTTTATACAAATCTTTGACTCGTCAAAGTAGGGCACGATTCCCCTGTCCAGATGAATCTGGATTTGCTGTCTGGCAATATCCGAGTCGAACAAGTGAGCATATATCGCAGTATCGTCTGCGTACAATGCTGTACTCGTTCGCTCGAATACAGGAAAATCGTGCGTATACATGGTGTATAGCAGAGGTGAGAGGCAAGGTCCCTGCGGAATACCTGCCCCGAATGGAAAATCCCCAGATATACTTTTTTTGACCTTACCCCGGATTTTCCTATTGGTGATATATGCATCTATAACCTTGATGAGAAAAATCGGCACTTTGGCCTTGTACAGCTTGACATTAGACCTTCGTGCCAGACGGTGTCAAAGGCCTTTTCTATGTCCATCATGACCAAAACAGTGTTTTTGTTGTTATTGCTGGCCTCCTTTACCTCGTGGACAATTTGGGCCACTTGAGACACGAATTGTTCCTTTGGTATGAGTTCCAGCTTTTTGATATGCGCTAACCACTAGACCGTTTGGGTATATGAATTCACTGCATACGCAGAATGACAACGAGAGCGCTTCAGTCGAATTCGTGTCGAAATCGGATCACGCATCAGGCGCGACCGAAAGAAATATCCCTTCTGCATAAGAAAGAAGGAAGGAGGCCACTTCGGAGGTCAAAACATAAAAGTACATCGAGAATAAAAGTATCACTGACGCGGCTCCTCCGTTAGCAAATTATACTATAGTGTTAGACTCTAGTAAATCAAGGGCAGGGATGGTGTACCGGGACCCAATGAACTCAAATTGTTTATATAGAGTTCATTGCCGGGACCGGGCTACCCAAACGGGAATACAGTCACGGCTAAACAACGAAAAAGTATGAAACATTTGGATTATCAGCATATCAGCACTTATCAGCTTCAACCATGGCGGGTAACGGGTGGTGGAGAATATTAAAAAACAGCAATTAGTCAATACAAATAGGAAAATAGGTTAGCCCTGTTCGTTTGTGTTTGCTCTACCGGGCTGAACTTGATTTTTTTTATGACGTTCTCTGTTTACATCATAGATGTACTATTTCTAGTAGTAGTAGTAGTAGTAGATACCGTCAACTAGGGTGACTTTGCCTGATTTTGCAAGTTTTTTGATGATAACTCAAATTGTTACAACGTTTATGTTAAATCCTTGATATATGTCAATCATCAGTTTGTTATCGATAGGTAGTTAAATTTTCAAAGCTCTATGATGTCTACTTTCTTTTTTTCTGCGTCAAAAAGTTGGCAAAGTTTCCCCAAGATTGGGCCAGATTTCGATTCAGCGTGGAATTTCCTACATTTTGGTCAAAAAATCTCAAAAATATATCAATAAATGAAAAAGTTATCGAGCTTTAAAAAAAGGCTTTTATTTTGAACATAAAACTGTTTTAAATAAATACGAACATTGTAATTTTAACAAAAAAAAAGTACCCTCTTTGGTTCGAAACTCTGGCGCTAATCATGTAAATCATCTGAACATCAATAAATGTCAAGAATACGTGAGAAAACTAATCTAATTAATTTTATACATTGATAAATCTTCATTGAAGTAAAATATTATAATATTATATAATAAAATAATATCTCTTGACGTGACGTGATATGAACACATGGGGTAACTTTGCCATCAAAAATTAAAAATACTTGGAATCACTTTGGCAACAGGGCCTCATAGCAGATATAACCTCGAAAGCAACATAACAAACATATTTCAAAATTAAAGTTTCTATGACGTGCAACATTGATGGTACATACTTTAGTACAGCAGGGTCCCCGAAATCGCCGATTCAACCAAAATAAATTAATTGTTGCAGAGTTTGAACAGTATTTTTCCTACATTTTCAAGAGCGCGCACGATGCACTTGCTTCTAACGGACGAGGTGGTTGCGGACTATGTGGTGTTGCCAGTTTTTCGAGAATTATTTTGTATGCGCCCCATTGCTTGGCAAAGTTACCCCATTGGGCAAAGTAACACCAGTTGACGGTATATGGTTTACATTATGCCATGAACAGAGACAATTATGGGAACAAAATCAACTGGACCAAGTTCAAAAAGACCCATAGATTCCCAGTTGGTTGATGCCACAAGATTTTTCAGTGGACCAGTTTTCTTGCGGGGCAGTTTATATTGGATTTGACAGATTTTTCTGTTTCATAAACGTCAACAATTGAAAAAATTGGTAACAATTTTCGTAGAAGCAAATGTTTACAAAGTTTATCTGAAACCTTATGAAATATGTCTAGAAAAACGAAATCTACAGTTTTTGTCGACCTGAAATCAGACACCCACAAGATGGTATGTACCTATACCTACCTACCTATCTATGTTACCTATATACCTGTACTTATACATTGTTCAAATAATAGAGTAGAAGACTTCTTATTTTGTGAAAATATCAACTAGGGAATTTACTCAGCTGATTCAAAAGAAATTCATTATTTCACATGGTTCCTTTCAGAAGCTCTTGAAAATTCTATAATTTCACAACTGCATAACATATGCCTACTTATACCTACCTGCTTTTCTAGTTTGCAAACTATGGCCATGACTGTACATTGGAAGACATCGCTGATAACTATGACTGGGAATATGCACCTGGATACTCTCTGGGAGCTAAATTCAGGAGATGGCTTGCAAGGATGAGAGTAGTTTCAGAGACAAGCAAATTTTACACACATCACTTGAGAAGTTTTGGTGCTATCAGTGCAGAGAGAAGAAGGCATCTCAAGTACCACCCAAAAACTATTCACCCATTCAGTGCAGGACGGTAAAATAATGAATAGAGTTAACTGAGTTTTCATATTTTAGGTTCCTACATAGTACCTATACCATCCTACATATTATTTAACATGAGTGTTTTTTTCAGGATAGTATGGGCCATAATAATGATATTCATTATACTTTATCATCTCATAGTTACACCTTTTATGTTTCTTGTGTTTGATTTCAAGAAGCCTAATTTCTCCTACAATGAAGTACTCAATATGTTCAGACTAGTATTTGATACTTTTTTAATATTCAATGGCATCTTCAATTGTATAACTGGATACTATGATGAACCAATGCAAAAAGTAGTATTGGATTTGAAACTCATTTTCATGTATGGCAGAAGTCATCTTTTGTGACAGACAATTCTTTGCAATAAATTTGGTTGTTTTAGACACTATTTGAAGACAAACTTTGTGTTTGATTTCCTCTCATCATTCCCAATGGGCTATGACATTGTTTTCAAACTAAAAACATATGATATTGCAATGATTTTATGGGCTATGATGTTCAGATACCTGTTAATGAGATCATTTAGTCAGTACTCAAAAATGGTAGCTAATGTGAGAAGAAAAAAAGATTGCCAACACATCTGTCTTATATCCAATGTTTTACAGCATTTCAATATAAATCATTTCACATATATGACATCTATGGTCATTTTTTATACAGTCATGTTCTGGCATGCTATGTGTTGTATTGTGGATTTCATAAGACGCCATATAAAATACCATACCAGCCCGGGTACTCACTTATTCAACACAACCCATAATACTTTTCTGTAAGTACATCCACTTTGTCCCTGTATTGATTTCCATCACTACTAAATTGATGTTCTGTTTTGAATCAGTGATCAGGAAGATAAGAGGATATGGGTTATGTACTTCAATGCTCTCCATCACAAATCACTCCTACTATACAATTCTGGTTATGGCAAAACAGAACCAAATCATGAACTGGAAATAATTCTAATATACTGTGTATGGTATGGATCAAGCCTCTTTTGCATTTATATCTTAGGTAAATTGTAATGATAGGTATATGTTCTACACTGACCTGCAGAAAAAACGACCAGCAAAGAAGCTTCCAGTTGTTCAATCTAAACAAGGTTCATACATTTCAATAACTATAATGCTCCAGGAATCCATAGGACTTGAAATAATATCACCTTTTTCACAAGTTCACATTATTTCACCAAAAATCTCAAATATGTATTTCAATTTGTTGATAGATATATAAAGCACAGATCTTGTAGGTATGTTGAATATAATATGCATAATAGCATGCCATAACATCTTGATCAACATACGATTTTAGATTAGGTTGATTTGGGTGTAATTTAAAATGCTTATGTGATGCCCTTATAAATTATTGAATTCTTGCAGGTTCCTATACTATTTTTGGAAAATTTTCACAGACTGTGATTCAGGCTGGTGCTGCTTTTCGTATTGAATAAGTTTCTTAGCCTACTTATATATTTTATTGCATTTTCATCACATGTCTTTGAACCATTCACTGTACAGGGTGTCCCTCCGGAAACTGCATCGATCAATATATAGAAATCCATAGGTGGGCCGAATTTGAAAATTTGGTAGTTTACTATTGTTAATAAGTGCCATCCGGCTAAAATATTTTGAAGATTGTGGCACTTCCGGTTGTGAATTGTAAAATTGTTCTATCCGTCATTCGGTTGCCCCTTACGAGCAACCCTCAGAAGTCTTCGAGAGTCTTGTGCGAGCAAGGAATGACGGGGGCCTTACCTTTTAACGTGTGATCCCAAACACTTTCTTGGACCATCAGAAAAATTTCTGCAGTCGATGGGAATCGACCCCACGACCAGCAAGCGAATGCAGAAAGAATATTGACACTCTGTCCGCACGGCTAACTGGCCCCCTGTACCGGAAGTGGACCCCAACTTCGTTATTTCAAATGGAACACCCTGTATTTTATTGCATTTTCAGATTCTTACTGAAGAGCTGATTTCAGCAATGCATCACACTTGGGGTCTATCAGGAATGATTACAGAGATATAGGGTGTTCAAAATCGAGATTTTTCAATTTTAAGATTTTTTGTGTCGAAACTATTCATTGATTGATTTGTACGAAGAAGTCCTTAATCAAGAGTGAATAATCCTCCAGCTATTTCGTTTGTTGGATAGTAGAATTGAAAAATGTCGTAAGAGAATCCTATCGATTTTGTTATTATAACATGACTCAAAGCTGTACTACCCATTATCTTGATTAAAAAAAAAACATCAAATGAACATATAGATAGAGAAAAGCATTAAATCGAGCTCTATCGATTTCTGGATCATCAGTTATTCAAACTTGATCAACCAAATTGAATTAGTAATAAAAATTTCATAACATCGTTATTGAAATTAGGGAACTAAATTTTAGTGGCTGTTTTTTATGCTGGTCAGTGTATATTCTGACAAAAACAGCTGTAACGATAGTTCCCTGTTATCGAAAATTTCATTGGAAATGAGATGTACTAATCTTGACGTTGAAATACCTCTCCAATAACTCATCAACTATATAAGGCATACGTTGCCGTGAATATAATTGAATGAAATAATGAGTCACATATCGTGATATGGAGCTGTCTAGAGTTCTAATCAAACTGGCAGCAATGGATAATAATAATAATCTTCATGCACGACCAGGCGTAAATCAGCACTTTACCGCTCGATTTTGAAGGCGTAAAGTGGCACTTTACCGCCTGCGGACTACTTCATCTCCCGGCGTATAGGTAGCTCGCAATAAGCATTACTATATATTATAATTCAGGATGTCTTAGTTGAGATGGTTCATTATCTAATATTACAGTTCTGCAAAATGATATGATTGAACTCAAAATAAGTTATCTGTAATGATAGACATCAAATATAATAATAGTCTACTCCTATTTCAAAAACTGACTGAGTTACCATGAAAACGTTGATTCCATCAATGATATTTCTCACTGCAGCCATGTTGCATTTCTATCGTCTCTGAGAGGTGAAGAGGCATTCACAATGAAAAATCAAATATACCGGTCATGAAATGTATGTATTTCGGGCGTAACTTGCTTTCATCGACCTATTGATGTTATCGCTCGGGCTCTTACGCACACTCTACGGTCCATAATAAAAGTCTATTTTACGCCCTTGGCCTTGATACATAAATATCTATTATTTTCCAATTAAATTGTATAAAGACAATGAATATAATAAATGGCTAGTACGTCAGTAGTAAATCTGTTGAATCAATTTAAAACACACATTGAAAATAAAAACAAACATTCGCCCGAGTGAACAGCAACAGATAGATCGACCGATCTATTGTCTACCACAGGCGCGTACACAGCTCTTGGTCTATCTTGGATAAATGGGTGTATAATTTTTGTCTTGAGATTAGATGAAAAACTATTATTAAATCCAATTTCATACTAGTCTTTGCTAGTGATTGTGAGGCCGTAAAATAATTTCATTTTGTTGAAGACGAAGATCTGATATCCGGTTTTTCACTCGATTGGAATCGTGCACTCAGTGTATATCCATCCAATTTTGATTATATTATAATATACAGTATGTCCCACTTACCATGCTCACCATGGGTATCTTTTTAACGGTGAGAGATACGAGGTCGGTTAAATGACACCAAATGTGGAGTTTGTCAAGGCCAACTATAATGTGAAAAAACTATTTTGATAAAATCTATTCGTTTTTGTTTTATACGCAAAAAAACAGATTTTGATCATTTTCATGTCTCCTCCGTAACTTCTTTATTTATGGAAATATTCAAATAGGAATTTCACATTCTCATGGCAGTTTTTCAAATGTAGGTCATAGCTCACTATGACTTAGTTACAAACAACTTTTTTTTCTCTTTCAGATGATATGTCGCAGTAATAGTTTTGTGTTGATAAAAACGGAGTTATCGTCATTTATACAAAAACAAAAAATTATTTGGAAGCCGCCATTTCGAATTTATGAATTTCAACAAAAAAATCATGATCTCCGACCTCAAAAACCCCCACTTACTAATTTTGAATGGAATCGGACCAAATCTTGTCCGCCATCTTGGAGCAACCATTTTTTTTAATTTCGACAAAAATTCCATAACTCCGATCAACTAAAATTTGGCAGGTGTTCATAATTTCGGTGACAATACATTATGGAATTTTTGTTGAAATTAATAAAAATGAACGCTCCAAGATGGCGGACAAGATTTGGTCCGATTCCATTTAAAATTGGTAAGTGGGGGTTTTTGAGGTCGGAGATCATGATTTTTTTGTTGAAATTTATAAATTCGAGATGGCGGCTTCCAAATAATTTTTTGTTTTTGTATAAATGACGATAACTCCGTTGTTATCAACACAAAACTATTACTGCGACGTATCATCTGAAAGAGAAAAATAAGTTGTTTGTAACTAAGTCATAGTGAGCTATGACCTACATTTGAAAAACTAAAGTTGGTGCTGATATCTCAAATTCTAGAAGAGTTGGTATAAATTCTATATTTTTTTCGAAATCACTTCGAAAAACTGCCATGAGAATGTGAAATTCCTATTTGAATATTTTCATAAATAAAGAAGTTACGGAGGAGACATGAAAATGATCAAAATCTGTTTCTTGCATAACAGAAACGAATAGATTTTATCAAAATATTTTTTCACATTATAGTTGGCCTTGACAAACTCCACATTTGGTGTCATTTAACCGACCTCGTATCTCTCACCGTTAAAAAGATACCCATGGTGAGCATGGTAAGTGGGACACACTGTATACAAGGTGTTTTTGAAATAAGTACATATAATCAGCACATCAATATGATACAGTCGAACGAATATTCCCATGCTATCAGATTTTTCCTAATTCTACTAACTAACAAGAAATTCCATCCCGAAAATTGAATAAAAAACGAGAATAAAATTTGGCACGCCACTTTAAAACAATTTGAATGATTGAAATCCACGTGATTGTGCCTTCCGCACGAAAATTTGAACAGAAGTGACGTCAGAATGGCTACAGTGTGGAACTTTGGATGGAAAAAGGTATCTAACCTCAAACTTTATTTTGATCCTTAAATTTTTTTATTTATACCACTCGATAGTATACGTCGAGCTTACTCAATGCATGAAATATTTGTACATATTTCGATGCCACCCTCCTGTATATAGAGAGGATTGGAATAAACAGCTGAGTGAGACGCAAGAACCAACGAAATCAGTTGATGGATGGGTAAAGTTTGGGAAACATAAACTGATTCAGTATTGAAAGTCAATACAGAAAATTAAGATTTTCTTGATGATTAGCAATTAATTCAACACGTCGGAATTACAAATCGAACTTTTATCGCGCCTAAAGAATACCAACCAATCAATAATGATTTCGACAAACGAGAGGAAAGCAACTAGCACTGCGACCTGATAGGAACTTTTGAAATTTGACTATATCCATTTTTCTTGAAAATCTAGATGAAATATTTCCTTTTTTTGGGGGGGGGGGCGTTAACCACCCTCATAACCCCCTCTTGTCTACCCGCCTGATCTCTCAATTTTGGGTCTAGAAGTACATGATATTATTTCCAATGATTTTTTCACAAAATATTGTACGAACCATTCCAGAATCGGACTCAGTGGCGATTTCTAATTGTTGGAAGTATGTCGTTCCACTTTCATAATCTGCAATTTATTTTTTCAAGCCATGATAATGGAGATAAACACAGGAAGAACATCTTCAGCCCACAAATATGATGCGATGGAGAGGCAACTCAAAGAATATATGAGACATAAGCAGTTACCAACATACATGAGAACTCGAATATTGACGTATTATGAATTCAAATTCCAGAAAAGATATTTCAGGGAAAGCGAAATTCTAGCTACTATATCTGAACAATTGAGGCAGGTAAAATTTGTCTAGAGATACTGCGTATTCTCTCGTGATATTTTCGCATTTTATTGCAGGTGTGAAACATCCACAGATAGGTATATAAGATGTCACAGGTTTAACCGGTGAACTTCAAGAATCAATATTTCTTCGTTCAGTTGAGAAGACATCTTTGTTGCACAGGACTTTGAAGTTAAAATTTTACGACTTTTATCTCTGTTGAAACAAGAGCTTCTGCTTTTGGACTTGGTAAACTTGTTAGTATTCATGGTACCAATATTGGGTACTGAGTTTGGCTTTCAGCATGTCTGTTTTGGTATAAGTAAGAATACCTATTCGCGATAGAAAATAAGCATACGCCACCTATCGGAGTTCTTGAAAGCTGTCAAAGCGGCATGTTTACTTCGCTTTCATTGGTTCACATTTGTTTTTTGTTTGTGCTTATTGGTCATATCATCAAAACAAACCGCTCAGAAGTGTTCAAGTTGCTGCCTTCAGGTGGGGCGACTTGTTATTTTCTATCGCGAATATTGAACAGTTATAATTGCTTTTAAACTAACTTCAGTTGATTTTAAAGCACCTTTCACCTTCTTGAATGTTAGTAGACATCATTACAAACATTAGAATTTCGGCATTCATTGTATATCTGTGGATGTTAATTCAACACCATTAGTTCATCTTCCTTATTTTGAATATATGTTTTTCAGGAAATGAACATGCATGCTTGTAAGAAACTGGTGGAGAATGTTATATTTTTCCGAAATTTGCCCCTGAATTTGCTTGTCAGAATAATATCTTGTTTACGCATAGAAGTTTTTCTTGTGAACGATGTTATAATCAGGGCTAATACTCCAGGAGCTAGTATGTATTTTATATCTACAGGAACTGTAGCAATTTACACGAAATCTGGCAAAGAGGTAATAATTATGGTAATATTCATTAATAATCAGATAAATAAAAAACAATATTTGGGTATTCAAACGCAGCCACAGTTATAAGTGAAGCCAGAAAGAAATCACAACTTGATATTCAGCCATTTCAACTAGAATATTTCAATAGCTTGTGATACATCACAGCTCGTAAAATATGGTTCTCGAAAATATGAACAATAGACGCGCGCTTCTAGTGGCATTATTTGGATGCTGTCCAAGGACACTTCAGATCGTATGAGGACACTTTGACATACGCACCATATTTGTTATAATCGAAAACGTCATTGATAAAAGACGCGAGAAGCCCATAAACACGAAAAATGTTAATGTATACGTGGTAGGTAATCCTTATTATCCATTGAGTATGAAGACGGAAAAGTGAAGAGATCGTTATTGTTCCCGCCATGAATTATACCAGCATGGCGTGAAAATTGCACACTCGACACAAATAAAAAATTGAGCAGTACCTAAGATAAATTGGCAACCCTATATTATGTTATATGGGAAAAGTGAAATTTTGGAAAATCTATTTTATTTTTTCTACTTTATTATTAGAGAAAAACTGAAAATACTTTTCTATAGCAACTTTTCATGAGATTTGACGTGATGATATCGATTTCTCTACGCGGCGCTTCATATTAGTAGAAAATATATTTATTTCTGTATACCCTGTATATTCGGACAGACATTGCATCATTGTCGATATGAGTGAAACCTGTACGAAAAGTTGTAAAAAAAGATAAGAGGGGGGAGGGTTCACATTAATATAACTAGCTCTGTACGACTGATTTGTCATTCAGATTTTCATTCCATGTTCTGTAATTATGGCAATACTCTTATTTTCAATTGTCAACAATTCCAATTTGTTTCTCTTTATCTTTCCTTTCTATCTGTTCTGACGATAAGACAGTATTTAAGATGAAGGTTGTTCAACCGTTCTGAAAACAAGTAATTTTGAGTAAGACTGTTTCTGTTTATTTGACCTCACTCTTCGCTCATGTCTCATCCTTAGTTTGACTATCATTGGGTTAGAGACCACATATTTTTTATGGTTAGATTAGATTAGATTTAGAATGGGGCCTTCGGGCTATCTGCCTCCACATCGCGACCTTTTCAGATCTATTGTGTCTGCCCTCAAAATCGATTAGAGTTCTTCGGCTAGCCCCGTCTTCTCTATGAGACTCCATAGGCTAGCTTTCAGATCCCCTGTGTATCTCTGGGCTTCTGGTTTTTCCTCACCCAGCGTAAGGAACCTTAGTCTTGACAAGCCCTCACAGTGGCAAAGTATGTGTACTGCTGTTTCCTCCTCTTCCTGACAGAACCTGCACAGCAGTTCTTCAGTCAGACCTATCGTACTCATGTGTTTGTTGAGCCTACAATGCCCTGTGAGAAGTCCCACTAGTATTCTAGTTGAACTTCGTTTCTGGCTTAGTAGATATTCTGTGAATGTTGGCGATGGTTTTTTAATAAACTCTTTTGCCTGTCTCATTCCTGGCGATTTGTTCCACCATTCTTGAGATTTGGTTTGCATCCATGATTTGATACTAGTCTTTTGTATAGCTTTCGCAATACCACAGAAGGGTTCTGGGCCATTCAGAGCTTTGTTTGCTCCTGCTCGGGCAAGTGAGTCTGCCTCTTCATTGCCCTCGTACCCTGTATGTGCTGGTACCCATGCTAGAGTCAGTCTGTTCTGACTGCCCAGTGCATTTAGGGTTTCTAAGCAGTCCCATACTAGTTTTGAGTTAACTTGCATAGAGTTGACTGCTTTGATTGCCGCCTGGCTATCTGAATAGATTGCAATGGTTTTGCCTTTAAACTCTTGCCTTATCAATTCTTTCACGCAATGATGTATTGCAATAATTTCTGTTTATGGTACTCTCCATTTTGTCTGATGACAGCCGTGGTGTCGAAACTATAGTCACACATACTGGTGTTCATTATTAAATTTTATGTCGACCGACTTTCGAGTTTTGTTTTTTCCCTTTTGACTAAAATAACCTTTTCAAATTTGCACAGTGGACCAACTTGACAGTTGGCATTGTTCTATGAATAAAAAATAGACTATGTATGTTCGTATTCTTGAATGATATTATTAAGGAGTTTCATTTTTGGTTGAATTTCAAATGTCATTAATTTTGTGGATACAAATGGATGTAGCTGTGAGCTGGAGCCGAATCCAAATTTTTTTTCTTATTTGTACAGAATGATTCATGAATATTTTACAGAATGCTTATTTTCAGAGTGCTTATTTTTCAGAATGCTCATTATCTTCGGGACGTTTTTGGTGAAACTTGTCTTTTGATCTGAAGAAGCCCGAGCTCATTAACTTATACAGGAAAAATCAGAAGGAATATTATGACAAGTTCAATATGTAAGTGTTTATCATCATTTGAAAGCAGTTGTCTACTCTTTCGTTTTCCGTAGAAATATAGATATTGTTCAATTGAACTCCGAAGTCTATCAAACTAATGGTTTCCGTGAACGTGCTCATCTGATTCATCTTGTATTATCTGAAAACTAGGACAGATATTTGTTAGAATGCTTCGAAAGTACGTCCCAAGAATGATGTTCAGTGATGACACAAATCTACAGCACTTCCTCATGAAAATAGACAAAGGTGTGAATTAACGATTAACACTACATATTAATATTGCCGTGATCCAATTCCGTGTGATTTTTTCTGTATAATTCAATAAGCTCGGACTTCTTCAGATTGGAAGACGAGATCTGGTTACTGGTTATATCATATTTGGTAGAAAACGTGGTTTGGCTTCTTCAGGAATAATTATATAAAAACAATTTCCTCCTCTCAAAAATGCGAAAACCAGTTGATCTGATGCCAGTTCACACTGCAACCTAGCCCAAACCTAACCTGACTTTCTAAGGAGAAATGATGCATTCTCTGAATAGAAAGAAACGATGATTCAGTAACTGCGGCTTCACAGTCATTGGAACTTGAAATTGAATCAGAAGTTTTAGGTGGAACGATTGAAATGAATAGCATTTCATATTTTAGGTCTGTCATTTGGAAGATGGTGCTCATTTTGGGGAAATAGCTCTCTTAATTAAAGATACATTCCGAATAGCGTCAGTGATTGCTGTTGAAGTCTCAGAAATTTACAGGCTAGACCAAAAAGACTTTGTGAAAGCAATCAATCCATATCCTGATTTACTAGCCAATATACAACATATAGCTGAAGAGAGAATGGAAGTGTCATCAATGTTGGACGAATATAACAGAAGAGAAATGGCTACGAAGCGATTGAATCTCCTTAACTAACATATTTTTGTCATTTTTTTCAGTTAAAACAATTATGATTTCAAGACCATATTTTTGATTAAAAATGTATTTACAAAACATACAGAACCGTAATGTATATATTTCATAACTAAATAAGAATCCGAATCACAGAAAAGAGAGTGTAACAAAACATATTTAGATAAAATTCACTTACTCTATATTTACAAGTCAAGAGACTGTGATTATAAGTTGAATCTAAACGAAGAAACTGCACATAAATAAATATCGGATACATGTTTTGTTCAGTCATTCAATTCTATTACATCATTCTGCCTGAGGTTTGGATTTGCAGAACTCGGTTCACCAAAGTAATTTGTAGGTCTCTGGGTCAAAAATCTGAAAGGCTAAACGTAAGAATCAGGATGTAGATCATTTGGAGAAAACTTACTGGGCCAATCGCACTGGATTCACGTTCAAATTTCCTGCCATCGCATTTTGTTTTTGCTGGTGCTGTATCATCCTCATCATTTGATTCTGATAGTAAGCTTCCCTCATTTTCTCCATACGCATGAGTTGAATTTCTTGTAAGACACGATTATACATCTAGAAAAAGATAAAAATACTCTGAAAGAGCAGGATATTTATTGATACATGGTAGGCGAACGAAATCCAAATGATAATCAAATTTAAAGAACTTGAACCTATTTCGGATCATCAACTGAAAAATTTGCTTCATTTCTACATAAACAGGAATTAAAAGTAGCATATAGAACAAATAACACGTTGGGAACGTTTATCAAAAATAACAAAGACAAAACTTTTAAATTCGAAAAATCAGGGGTATACAAACTCAACTGTGGATCTTGCCTTAAGGTAAATATCGGTCAGACAGGTCGTAGGTTTAATCAGCGCATTCATGAACATAAGATGAATTTTTTGTAGAAGAAAACAAATTCACCATACGCCAACCATATATTAGAAGAAATGTTTATGTTTTGATGACAATTTCGAAATTCTACACGTAGAAAATAAAGGAATAAAACTCAATCATTCTGAGTCATTAGAAATCTACTACAACTAGACTACACACACTGTTTTTCCACTAACCAAACCGATTTTTTTAACGCCTCGACACGTGTTTCGCTAACTATGTTAGCATCTTCAGGAGAAGATTAAAACTGTTCACAATTGATATTTGGGGGTTTTTCGGGATGCGACACACGAATACGGGCACTTTTTCACTGTGGCTATCAGATGGCGATTTTCAATGCACTTCTAATGGTTTAGAATGTCCATAACTATTTTCTCAGTGTAGTTTTTTACTTTATTTGTTGAGGAAATCATTTTCTGAACATTTTTAAGCAAACAAGGTAGTTTGATTTTTCGACCTTGGCTTTTTGATAATGTTAAAATATGTTTGCTTATATGTATCATATATGTATCACTGAGGTTAGTATACCAACTCTTTGACTCTCTTTTTGACTCCTTAACCATGTTCATTATATCTTTTAGGTACTTTAATACATCAATTTTTTGTCTGATGATGGCCTGTGGCCGAAACTAGTTACACACTACTATTATTAAATATTTTTTCGTGGTCAACAGACTTTGAGACTTTTATTGTTTTTTCTTATAAAAATCAATTGGACCACTTTGAGAAATATGGATGATTTCCATGATTTAATTATACAGGGAAGATCGGGAATTCCTAAACATCATGTCTTGTTTTAATGAAACGTCAAATATCGCAAATCGGAGTTGAGGTGTAAGATAAAATTCAAAGTGACTTTGTGAAAGTAACCCTTTACTTTACACTAAACTAAATTTGCAATTTCATGCAAATTTAGTTCCTATTTGTGATTCCGTATCCGAATCAAGAAATTCAATTTTTAAATATCGCATTCACAAAACCAGCTCTCCGAGTGAACAAATCATTTCCTTTTCGATTCATAATGCAATTCTCGAAAACCGTTAAAAATAGGTCAGTTTGACAAAGTCACTGAAGAATGTATCCTAAACTTCAGTTCGATTGAAAATATTAGGTGTACCATTTGAAGAAATTCCTTTTGACATTTTGGGATTTCTGAAATCAGGATTAGTTTATGATCACTTTGAATGATCAGGAATTTCTTGCACTTCAATTCCTTTGACATTCATGTGGATTAGTTCACCACCTCCTGGGTATCTCTTGACATTTTCTTTTCATTCGAGTTTCAATGATAAATTGTTATTGTGGGAATTATCAAAAAATGTTAAATTGATCAAATACCTTCACCGAATTAGGGGAGGTGACGTGGAACGAACTCAATATTGACTATTGATTCCAATTATGTCATAAAATACAGTGTTTTTTTTTTACAAAAAATGATTATTGAAAAATCAACCCTCTTTTTAATCCAATGAATAAATGGCCTTGCAAAATGATGTTTGTATCAGATAGTTCAGTAAAATAGTAGAAAAAATTGGTGAAGCAACAAATTTTTGTAGAGTAGTAGAAGGAAGTGCCATAAAACAACATACTTAAAGTCCTGACCGGATGAGCGGGGCAGTATGGAAACGTTTGAAGGTCATTTTTTCAAGTTGTTCTTGAATAATTTAACAACCGCGACCTCTAGCGAAAAAAATGAAGGTATACTTAATCGAACATGAAATTTCCTATGAGGAAGTCTCTATTCATTTTTCGTCTACAATGAATAGTTCCTGAGGGAGATGAGAAATCGAGAAGTATGAGTTGAAAAGTTTATTGAAATTCTTGTTGACTCTCTCACATCATAAAATTAGTGTTTAAAGTGGCTAATAACATATACATACATACAGTGTCTTTCAAAAGTATCGGAACGGTCTTCTATTTCAAGAACGGCTTGAGAAAAATTCACGAAATGTTCTACTGGGTGATTATTGATGATGTCCGATTCAATGGTGGCATCGGCAATGTTGCCAAGTTTACAGTTTTTCAGATATTAGGAGTTACTTTATTTTTTTAAATGGAATACCCCATTTATTTTTATTGCAATTAATTAAGCGCCTCCTAATTACTTGAGTCCCTGGATATCAAACTCATAATCAACGTGATTTTCGGAATATGACAACATAGCATTTTCGTTAAAAAGTTCTGGAACGGTCCCATATTTGAGAAACGGCTTATAGAGAAAATTTATGAAAACTTCGACAGGATGGTTGTTGATGATGCTCGATTCAATGGTGATATCGGCAATGTTGCCAAATCAACAGTTTTTCAGATATTGAGGGTAATTAAATTTTTTCAAATGGAATACCCTATTTGTTTTCATTGCAATACATTCAGCGACGCATCAGGTGCTACTGGAACTTTGGTTGTTATTGAGATGAGCGACATTACCATCCAATCCTAATGAATCCTGTGACGTTGAAGGCTGTTGCTCTGAATGAGTTTCTCTAAGTTCTGCAAGATGGATGAACAACACCGTGTTTTTGTTCTTGGAACCTTCAACTCTCATACTTTCACGGGAAATGTTCTTCAGAAATCTGTGCTATCCTTCAATCACTGCCAATACCAGTCAGACGAACTCGACAAGCCCAGTCAGCACATCCTTTCGTCGTCAACCTTGATATATGTCGAACAACTCTTTACGAAAACTCGCGTGTCAAGAGAACAGCAGATCTTTGGAATTCCTCGCCAAAGGAAGTATTCCTAAGAACTTATAATCTCCAAATGAAATTTCCAATATCTACCTTCTCTCCCTATCATCGCTAGGTATGAACGATGTTCTTTGAACAGTATAGGGATTCCTTTTCGTACGCTTCAGCAGATAAAAAGTCTCTAGCATTCACCAAATCACGTATCACATCATCACACATCACACTCGCAAATTGAACACTTTTCAGCCATGTTCAAATAGATAACCTCTTCAGGTGAAAAACTCACTTACTGCCATCATTTGATGCAAAGCCTATAGGTATTCATTTAAAAAAAAACAGAAAATAGTGAGACAAACATGAATTTCATACCAATAAACAGTAAATTTGATTCCTACTTCTCGATTGTTTCCCCCCTATATCTCAGAAACCATACATTCTAGACGAAAAACAAATAGAAACATTTATATAGGAAATTTTATGTTGTTCAATTTTGTATACGTTAATTTTTTTTTTATTCAAAAACTTGAAAAAATGACGTTCAAACGCTCCCCTACCGCCACGCTAATCCCCTACGGATCAGGACTTTTTGTATGTTGTTCATTGCACTTCCCTCTACCACAGTACGAAAATTTGCGACTTCCCCCATTAGACCTTTTCTGTCGTTCGTTGATTGAACTAAGAAAACTGATCAAAATGATTGTCATTGATACCAATCTGAGAAATTGTGGTGGCATTATTAATTATTGGTCATTAAAAGTGAAAACTCTAAATAATACTTCAATACTCACTGTGGTATCATTCTCCTGCAATTGAACCTGCAACTGCTGGACTAGAGCTGGGATAATGCCTTTAATTTGCACTTCTGACCAATTAGGGTTATCTTTCCTAACGATATTCGTCAAGGCACCAGCTATTGCTTGTGCACTCATGCCTGGATTCAAGTTAGGTATATTGGTACCATAATTGTATTTACGAATAACTTTCTCGTTTTCAAACTCGTCCCAAGCCGCTTTTCTTTCTTCTTCATTGAGACCTTCCGCCTCCTTATTCTCCAACAGAGACTGGTGCAAGTGGTATTTGTAGATGCGATTCTCGTGCTTTTGTAACAATTCACCCAGCAGTACGTCTTTAGGCACCATTGGTATGGGCCTGTCCGTCGGTTCCAAGTCGCATTTGTACAACTCTTGGAGGTCGTTTTGGTTGTAGTGTCTGTCGATTTGCTGTTCGTCTATCACTCTCTTCGATATGGCCTGCTTGGTGACTTGCCGCTCGTAAATTTTCATTTCCATGGTGCCGTACGTAACGAACCGATAAATGTAGGACGGCTTAGTCTGACCGAATCGATACACCCTGTAAATACTTTGAACGTCGTGCGATGGATTCCAGGACACGTCGAAAATGATGACTCTGTTTGCTGCTACAAGATTTATTCCCAAACCTCCCGCCTTCGTCGAAATGAGAAACAGCCTAGATCTCAAGTTATTTGGATTGTTGAACGTATCGCACCAGATGGATCTGTTCTCTGAGCTGGACGAACCGTCCAGTCTGAAATAGTCAAGTCCTAGTGCCCAAGAGCCTTTGTGGCCTCCCACTTTGTCGCTATTGCCTTCTTGGGTTGCTTCGTCTATTTTTTCGAGAAAGTGTTCTATGCAGTTCAATGTGTAAAGGGACTGTGAGAATACTAGAATTTTGTCGCCAATTTCCTCGCATTCTCTGAGGATTTCGAATAACAGGATCAATTTACCACTGTTATTGATATTGTCCAGTTCATCACCATCACAATAGTCCTGCCACCACTCCTTTTTTATTTCGACGAGTTCAGGGTCACTATCTTCGTTATTATCTCTCCCTTCAAAATTAAAAAGTTAGTCTTGCACAATGGGGGCGCTTAGGGACGGGCAGGGGCATGGGTGTCTCCTTATATTTTGACCCCTACCTACAGCTTCAAATATAAGACGTCGAAAAAACTTCAAATGTGAAAGTTGTAGGGTTTCATCAGTACTATTTTTTAGCACTCTTTAAACAAACAAATACGAATCGCTAAATGGAAACAATAGTCCAAATCAGCTTTTTTAAATAAAACAACCTGTATATTTTCAGCTCTAGTGAAAGATCTTTCACATAAGTCATGGATCAAAAGAAGTGGGTGGAAGGGAGAAGGGGGGTCATTTACAATCAAACTAACCGTATATGTGGTTATCCAATTGTTGAAGGTTGAAAATATATTCAATTTTCCTGGAAAACGCGATCCATTTGAAAAAATTAATAACAAAAAGGCTGTTTTGAATGACCCCATATGGAATCTGTGTTAAATGGGCAACTTTTTCTGATAGTTGGTCATCTTTTTGGAACAGTTTTGAGATATGATAGCAGGATTAAAAAATCAACTGAATTATTTCTTTCAACAAAACTCAAGGACAACAACATTTTTCTACATTGATGCGAAGTAACACAGGTAATAAACATTATTTCTTGGGGAAGATGCATCCATGCGGATTGAATTTTTAAAATAATAAATAAAATAATGATTTTTGAGTATACAAACTACATGATTCTTGGGAGAAATGAAAAAAATTGAATAACCATATATACGGTTAGTTTGATTGGAAATGACTCCCCCCCTTTTCACCCTACTTCTCTTGATCCATGACTTATGGACATTCAAATGGTCGTGGACACAACAGAAATACCATGGAAACAAAACAGACGCTTTTTGAAATCTCTGTCGGTTTCTCTAATCAAATAATTGCGTTATTCCGGAGAGGAAAAATACGAAAAAGTAAGATTTAATTATTGAAAACATGCAAAAATTTTAGTATTGCAGCAAGATTTTAGTCGAAAACGGCTAATTATTGGCAAACTATATATATTCGAGAACAGAAGAAAAATATCTTTCATTTGGACTGGAAATGTACAATGTCTCATTTAAAAAATATTATTTGGGCTTATTTTTCCATTTTGCAATTCGCATCTGTTCATTCAAGGAGTGCCTATAGGTAGTACAAATGGTACAATACAATTTCAATATTTGAAGTTTTTTTCCACCTTGTATAGTTGCAGCTGCAGGTAGAGGTGGTCTAAATGTTTCTTTGGACGCCGCGAAAGTTATGACTCATTACGGATTTCGATTTTTAAAGATTTCAATGACAAAAATTTATAGTGTCGTATTCAATGTTGAAAAAAAACAATAGAAAATTACCATTTTTGTCATTACAGCAATCGAAAACGAAAATTTGTAATGAATACTAGTTTTCACGGTGTCCTAAAGCAACAAAAAAAAGAATGAAAAATCTTGGTCCTTATTTAAAAAAAAAATATTGATTGGAAGTGGCTATGATAAACTATTGAGTATTTTTCCAAAAATGTTTCATGAAATTTCGTTTTTTTTTCTCGGATGTCACCGACAGTATTCGGCATTTTCCGTTCAAATTGCGCAATTTTGAAATAATTAAACTGGCCCTGCATCTCGTACGGCTTACGAGATCCAATGATGAGGTTGAAATTTCAGTCGCCCTGTATAAATTTTTCGAATCAAATAAACAAAAACAATTTCAAGTAACTTGAACTGTAAGATACAGGGTGGCTGTAAGAGGTACAGGGTCGGTTGAATCATGGCAAAGTTGCACAATTTTATGCATTACAAAATGCCGTATTGAAATTTGAAAAGTTCCAAAAGATTTTTGGAAAAAAACCGAATATTCGCGATTTCATTTAAATTTTTTCATGATTCTATTTGAATAGATGTAACAAAATAAATTACACATTCAGATTGCTACTTCTTCTGTTCTACAAAATGTGTTATCAGATCTTCAACCGACGTTTCATCTTTGAGCTGTAATGATCAACTTTGTTTTTTTTTAAATACGGCCCAGGATTTTTCATTATGGAATTTAAGAGCTTCTGATCTCCTAAAATCGACAGACAGGGACAGAAAATAAATTTGATTACGATGTGTCATAAATACATACAGGGTGTCCCATTGGGAAACGGAAAAAAATCAACGGTGTGCAGAGCAATTTTGTTCATTTCTTTGTGAGGATATAACTTATGAACCACCCAGTATATTTTTTCTGAATTTGGTACAAAAGTCTTCCTTCTTCTACCCAAGCAACTCACCTATCAGTGACGAGAAGAGTCCATGTCCGGATCAACGAAAAGTGATCATATTACTGGGCCCCAAAAAAATCACCCTGTATTTCTGAATTTCCAAAATTCGCTAGCATTTTTGAAAAGTACACAAAAACCTGAATCGAATTGTATACTTCTTATTTTTCCGCATGCTCTTTCACTAATGAATTTCTGATTTTGAATTTGAGGTTTTATGCATTTGGATGAAATGTTTCGAGTTTTCCCAATTGAATAACAATAATTACCACGAACCACCCAGTATATTTTTCAAATTTGGCACACAATACCTTCAACTACCCAAGAAACTCACGTATCTGTCACGAGAAAAATTAAGGTCCGGATTAACGATAATTCATCATATTTCTAGGCCCCAAAAAAACACCTCTTCTACCAAAATCCGCTTACATATTTGAAAAGTGAACAAAAAGCTGTATAGAATTCTGCACTTTTTATTTTCCCGCATGCTCTTTCTAAAATGGAATGTTTCGAGTTCTCAATCGACTACCAATAATTACCGCAATTTGCTTCGATATCCTATTGAACAGCATTTGTAACCTGGATGAATATGCCAGTATGTCTTCAAATATTCCAATATTAATTCTCTTGATTACTCATGTATTTTTGACAAGAAATTGACCGACATGATAATGACATATCACTGTTGAAACAATTTCATTTCCTCAAATAATAGAACATCAAAAATAACAAAACATCTGCAACATAAAGTGCCCTTTATTTCCATCAAAATATTTTCTTGTTCTCTTTGTAATATTTCGGATTACATCCTGATTGTTTTTCATTTTTCTTCAATTCTTTGAATTAGCTCCTCCTTGGTATTAGTCTCAGAAGAAGAATACACTTCGGATTCAAGATAACACCAAAGGCGATAATCCACGGGATTCAAATCAGGTGATCTAATAGTCTAATAGTTATAAGAGCCGCCTAGTCCAATCCACGTATCAGGAAAATTCTGATTAAAGAAATCGTTTCAATGTGGGAAATTCAAAAAAAAAAATACTTATATCAATATGGATTGCTTAAGGCAGCTGCCGTAAATGGACTGCAAGATCACCCGACTTGAATTCCCTGAATTATCACCTGTGAATGGGATCATCTTGAATCTGAAGTGTATTCAGGAAGAAACTAATTCAAAGGTTTGAAGAAGCGTGCAGATAAATTAGAAATAATCAAGATGTGATTCGAAATATTAAAGAGAACAAGAGTTTGGATCAAAATAGAGGACACTTTAAGCAATTGTTATAATTTCAATGTTTTAAGTTGAGCAGGCAGATGTTTTTTATCTTTGATGTTTTCATATTTGAAGAAATGGGATTGTTTCAACAGTGTTACGTCATTATGTCGACTGATTCATTCAATTTCTTGCCACACATACATGAGTTTTCAATAGTGATATTGAAGTATGTGAAGACCCACTGGCGTATTCATCCAGGTTACAAATGCTGACGACGACTGTTCAATAAGATATTGAAGCAAATTGTGGTAACTTTTGTTATTCCATTGGGAAAACTCAAAACATTCCATTTTCACCTATCCAAATGGATAAAACCTCAAATTCAAAATCAGAAATTCACTAGTGAAAGAGCATGTGAGAAAATAAGAAGTACTCATTTCGATTCAGTTATTTGTGTTACTTTTCGAATATGTAAGCAATTTTCGAAATTCGCAAATATAGGGTGTTCTTTTTGGGGCCCGGAAATATGATCAATTTTCGTTAATCCGGACACTGATTTTTCTCGTGACTGATAGGTGAGTCGCTTGGGTAGAAGGAGGACTTAAACAGGGTGTCCAGTAAACCATGGATCATATTGTAGCTGGTGATAAACAAGTTCATAACCTATCAGAAAACTACAACTTGACCTCAGTTAAAACCTCACGGCTTCGGAGATATTAGAACTTTTCAAAAAAAAATGCATTCTTATTTTCATGTTCTACGCAAATGAAGAGCGTTCCACGTTAATTCTCATTCTCTACAAATATTACTGATAGTAGTAGTTGTAACAACCAAAAAAGGCAGACTTTCGATTACTGTCATTTACGGTCCACAAAACAATATCCTCCAATAGGTGAGTGGATTTTTTTTTTATTCTAAATAGAATCATCACTCAAATACCTTTCAATTTCATATTTTCTAAGAATTTTTCGGTAAAAATAATAAGCAATTAAAACTCAATTGTCTCTAGAGGACATTGAATCGGTGAACGTGACAACACGGCGCACGACTTGTGGGCGTGGTCTTCTCAGTTTTCAGCTTTCCGCACAATGTTGCCAAGTCTCCAACATTCACATGATATTTTGTAATGGAGAATAAGAAATATTTGGACATGCTGATTGCTCGTTAAAGTCAAGAATGAAGTATAATATCATGGGTTCCTCCTATTATGTTTTAATAGATATATAAAAGAAAATTACAACCTCACGGTTTTCGAGATATTGGAACTTTTATTAAAAAAAAATGCGACAGAAGGACTCCGGTCATTTGAACATTGCTGTTCAATAAAGCACTATTATTATTATTTTATGAAAAAAAAATAATCCATATATTCATGTTCCAAGCTAAGAAGAAGCGTTCTATTTTTCGATAAATATTACTGAATGATAGTTTCAATAATCGCAGAAGGCAGATTTTCGATAGCAGTCATTAGAATTACTCCACTGTGTCGTTAGGAACCTATATTAAATTTTGCAAGACTTCTCACGCTTTTTTATGTAAATAATGAGTCTATGCATTGTCCAAAATTGTTGAATTTCAGAGCATATTTCATACGACCGTTCATGGCTGCCATTTGTTGATACTTCGAATAGATGATGACGTCAGTTTTTATTGATCAGATAATCTTCCATTCCCACTCATGAAGCAAGGTTGTCAAGTCCCTGTCGTTGAATAAAACGTAATGGGAGGAACCCATGATATTATAGTTCATTCTTGACATACATATCATGTGAATGTTGAAGACTTGGCAACATTGTGCTTAATGCTGAAAACTGACAAGACCACGCCCACAAGTCGTGCGCCGTGTTGTCACGTTCACCGATTCAATGTCCTCTATTGTGAATCAATATAATTATTAATTACATAAATTTGTTATAAGCAATAAGCCACAAAATCATAATAGTATATTATGTAACAAGTGCTATAAACGTCCTTTTAGTAACGAGTATTTTAAGCACGAGCGGAGCAGAGCGGACGAAGTGTTCAATAAACGAGTGTATAGAAGAGTTTGAAAAAGCGTTGCATAATATGATTTTTCTACGAACTCCGAATCTCGCTCCGAATATTACATTGACATACCTGCTATTCCTGCTAACCTACAAAATAATTCGAAAGGAACGGGAATTGAGAACTATACATGCAACTGCATGCAACCAGCAAGACACGTTTAAGCGATATTGGTTGTAGATGTGTCCAGTCCATTGCTTACTTACCTTTGTTTCACGTTTATTATCATGCTTAGCGCAGAATGAATAAATTGTTCTCAAAGATGGATGCTCCATTTTTACACTTCTTGGAGATATGCAAGTACTAGAACATTCTCTTCGATTTCACTTTCGTCTACATTTCGCATATATTTTTAAAGAAGAATTCTGATACAATAGTATATTACGTAACAAGAATTATAAACGTCCTTTTAGTAACGAGTCTTTTAAGCACGAGCGGAGCAGAGCGGAGCGAGTGTTTAATAAACGAGTGTCTAGAAGAGTTTATAAACGCGTTACATACTATGATTTTTCTACGAACTCCGAAAATTACATTAACATACCTGCTATTCCTGCTTACCTACAAAATAATTCGAAAGGAATGGGAATTGAGAACATAATAGATGCAACTGATGCATCAACCAGCGAGACACGTATAAGTGATATTGGTTGTAGATGTGTCCAGTCCATTGCTTACTAACCTTTGTTTCACGTTTATTGTCATTCTTAGCGCAGAATAAATAAATTGTTCTCAGAGATGGATGCATCATTTTTACACTTCTTGGACATACGCAAGTGCCAAAACATTCTCTTCGATTTCACTTTCTTATTCTACATTTCGCATATATTTTCAATGATACATTCTGATACGAAAATTGTTCGAATAATTCTGATACAAAATTTGAAAATAACAGTTGACAGTTAATACAATTGACAGGCCAGACATGTCTCAAATTACTGAAGCTGTGTTTAATGAACTGCGTTGCCATGGTAATGTGTTTAAGAAATCGTGTTGCCATGGTAACGTGTTTAATATTTTGAATAAATCACAGATCGACAATCCGTGATTAATCGATCATTTAGCGTGGTACATATCCGTACGATAAATGCCATTTTAGTTATGTGAGTAGAAAAACGAATATTGTTTGAATAATTCTGATACAAAATTCGAAAATAACAGTTGACAGTTAATACAATTGACAGGCCAGACATGTCTCAAATTACTGAAGCTGTGTTTAATGAACTGTGTTGCCATGGTAATGTGTTTAAGAAAACGTGTTGCCATGGTAACGTGTTTAATATTTTGAATAAATCACAGATCGACAATCCGTGATTAATCGATCATTTAGCGTGGTACATATCCGTACGATTAATGCCATTTTAGTTATGTGAGTAGAAAAAGGAACATTTTGAGATAATTGCATTTTTATTGCTAATTAGGAATATTACCAATACCCAATTGAGAATTTATGAATTATTGAATAACTAATATTTCTTAAGTTCCCAATCGTATTTCAAAAACTACCATGGCATTATTGATTATTTTAGCACCTGAAAATCGACCGAAAAATTCCTACAAAATATGAATTTGAAAGGTATTTGAGTGATGATTCTATTTAAGAAATAAAAAAATTATTCCACTCGCCTATTGGAGGATATTTTTTTGTAGACCGTAAATGATAGTAATCGAAAGTCTGCCTTCTACAGTTGTTACAACTACTATTCAGTAATATTTATAGACAATAAAAATTAACGTGAAACGCTCCTCATTTGCGTGGAACATGAAAATAAGAATGCATTTTTTTTTATAAAAGTTCTAATATCTCCGAAGCCGTGAGGTATAACTAAGGTCAAGTTGTGGTTTTCTGATAGGTTATGAACTCGTTTATCGCCAGCTAGATTATGATCCATGGTTTACCGGATATCATGTATAATGTATACACAGAAATACCTATCTACATGGATATAAATATATCACTAAAATGATAAATCGATAATTTGCGATAACAGTATCCTTCGGAAAACACTTTGTGAATGATAGAAAAAAACTCAATGTCCATTTATTTTGTATTGTGACGTTTGGAGCAAGTTAGTTTTATTTTGATGAAATAATATAGAATAAAACTTACTTTGAGCCGCCTGTGCACGGGTGACTCTCACTTTTTGGGTTGACTTGCTCTTGCTTTTGTTCTTTTTGGTACTATCACCATTTTCTTCATCGCTCGAACCGGAACTAGTCGATTTGGCAGATTCTTCGGAAGTGGCGTCACCGTCATCAATGAAGTCCTTCAATGAGCCTTCAGATTCTTCTTCGTCGTCATAGTCCTTCTCTCTTCTTTCACTACTCTTGTCTTTCAAAACTCTCGGATGTGTACAAATTCTTTGCAACTGTTGAAAATCCGTGAATAAAAATGATGTCCTGTTGGAACCGTCATTTTGTCTAGCGTATCTATCCATGTAATGCTTGTATAGTTTCACCTGAGTTTCTGTCAGATTAACGAACAAGACGTATTCAAATTTAGGGGGCAGGTAAGGTTCTAAAACGGCATAGTCTCTACGTTGCACTACACCATCAAGAAGTTTGTGCAGCACGTGAGATCTTTTTCTCATTAGAAGTATATCATGTTGGGTTGAATCTGTATACTGCCCGTTGATAATCGGATTCACGAATCTGTTGAGGTATTCCTTGTAAGTACCGAGTAGATTTGGTTTTATGAATTGTACCATGCACCAGTATTCTTTCAGATTGTTCTGTAGGGGAGTACCAGTGAGGACAATTCTACGTGCAGTTTTGATTCGGTTCATTGCGATAGTGAGACTGGTTTTTTCATTTTTCAGTAGATGGCCTTCATCACAGACAACCAGATCTGGGCCTGAAAACATTATGAATACATGCAGGTAGTTGTGCTACTGTTAAATATGTAACAATTATTTTCAATCTTTTTCATAAAATAATTGAATTGAAATTAACAAAATTCACGATTGATTATAGTTTCATTTAAATTGAAGAGATTCCACACAATGACTACTCAAACTACTCATAAACAGATGGACGATTTGTTCGAGATTATCTTCATATAAAATAACAATTTTTTAAAATTTAGATATGTAGGTAATTTAACACTTTTCAAAACTGACCGAAATTTTGAAACGTCTCACTTCACGTAACCAGTTGCGTAAAGTTAAATATTTCATAATTGGTGATGGAATGTTCATTTCAACACAAGTTACAAAATATAAATATGGATAGACGAAGTGCCTAGTACATTTTGTGCAGCTTCCTTGATATCACTTGGGAAATCTGAACTTGAATCAGCCATTTTCCTCTAATAAAAATATTAAACGAGTTTATTTCGTGGATTTCCGCTGATTTGTGACCATATTATTGTTTGAAGGATACTTCAAAGTGTCGGGCGAAGTCATTTTGCCTACTAAATGTTGTACATTATCGGTAGAACTCATGTAGAACTGATCATTATTTCTGTTCAGGCAAAATTAAAAAAAATATTGTGCGTTAGTTAGTTAGTAAAATATATATTATATCAGTTTTTGGACTATAAGGAAATATGTATATTTTTCAATAATTCGTCAATTGCTTTTTCTTTTCTTCTGCTAAAAACATGTTTGAGATTAGTACTGAATTACAAATCGATATTATAATATCTAATTGAAATAAAATGCTATTTAAAATATTGAACCTTGACGTCTTATCATATTGAACACAAATAAAAAATTGCATAGGAAAAAGTTATCATTTTTGTTCAAGGAATATATGGTTAACGGAATGACCTTTTCACGAAGCATTACAACCAAAAAAGAATTCTTCCATTCAACCTTCAACACAGCTCTGCGATCATACTGAGAAATCAATATAGTAATAACAAAGTATTATAGATAATGAGCATATACAAAACAGTATCAATGATTTTCAAACAACACTTTTGAGAATCCAATAAATGACATGAATTGCCACGTTTGATGTTCGTTTTTATTCCAAAACCAGATTGGATTGAAAGCATATAAGGATAATTGAAATAGAACTCTCTCTATTCCCAATTTTCAAGTTTTAGACGCCGATACGGTATACTTTTTCAGAGATTTGTAGCTCATTATTATAATTCAGAATATTATAACCGCCCAACTTCTACTCAGAAAAATGAATAGTCTAGCTAATACGGATAGCTCAATATTTTCGATTTCTGGAAAACTATTCATTGTTTTGCCATTTTCTTAGGTGGGACACTGACACATGACGTTGTGTTTCTGCATTACGGAGGTAGTATTTTTAATATTGAATTGATTTCGTAATTTTGGAGTTAGGAGTGCACCATTTTCAAAGTCCGCATTTATTAATACACGCATACCGCCACTATCAAAATAAAATAAAAGACAGAGTGATACTCCAAAATATTGAAGAACTTCAGTATAATTGGAAAGTTACGTTTTAAAAATATGCTTGGGTCAACCTGATTCTTGATTGTGCTAGGGGGGGGGGGGCTAAAGGCTCAAAGAGTTATTTATATCAACAAATGGTCATGTTCAATAGAAGTGTTTACACCACTCTCCTGTCATGATCCTCATATACAATGTATGCAATTGTTTATGATTCAATGAATAATAATCAAGTAACTAGATCAATTTCGATTTGGATATAAATAAGTACAAAATGAATCGAGTACCTACCTGGATCCACCATCCCTTCATAGAAAATCATTCTCGTTTTCTTACTAATCCTTTTATTATCAGGATTACTGAGATTCCTGAACATCTGATAACCTATTATCAGAACTCCTCCTTCTTCATGCCACTCTTTTACGACATACTGTTTTTCGTAATTTTTTTTAGAAGTTATCAATTCGTACACGTCTACTGCAGCATTACTTGGAACCCACTTTTTGAACTCATTTTTCCAATTCAATACTGTATTCAAAGGACAAACCACCATGACTTTATTCACTTTAGTTTGTTCATTGTTTTTCAGCAGTGTATGTGTTAGGGCAACGACCTACAAACACATTAATAAAAATGTGGTAATACATCAGCACCATGAAAATTATGAATGAATGAATGAATGAATGAATTATACCTGCAGAGTTTTTCCTAAACCCATACAGTGAGCTAAGATGCATCCCGAACCTGATGTTTTTGTTGCCCTTTTCAAGGATTCAAAACATGCATCCCACATAAACTGTATTCCATTTGCTTGATGTGGCTTCAACTTTTTCGCAATTTTCTTATTCACTGTGAGTACTTCATCCTTCGTTTCATCATCATATTCCAAAACGAGCTTTTCGATTGTGGCATCCATTTTTTCTTCGAAGTAACAGTTATACTGAAAAACATTTTTAAGAAATTGTGACATAGATAGATACTGTGAGAATACCTTCTTCTGTTTCTCAGCAATACGGGCCTTGCGTTCTTTTTCTTGAGCCTCTGCTTTTTTTGTTGTTTCCGATAAGGAATCTCTATCTAGAACCTATGAGGATATTTGTAATAACATCGGAAATATCAGTCAAAAAAAGTACCAACCTTCCTGATCTGTTTTCTTGTCGATTTATCATCGTCGCTACTGCTGCTATCGTCTTTGGTTCTTTTTATCCTTCGCCTTGACGGTTTTCTGAAAATTTGATGGTGAATGAGGACAGTACTTTTTTACTGATTTACATTTGATCAAGTGATGTATGGCATAGGATCTACTAAGGACCCCCAAAAAATCCCACACGAAAATATAGAATTTTACAAATGCTTCATCTTTTGATATGTTGCAGTTTATGACTTCTGTTCAGTTGCAGATTCAATTTATGTTCCACCATTCTCATTAACCCAAGTGAAGAATGGTTCTAAAATCACAACCATCAAAAATTAGACTCAACAATTGATTTCCAGATATTGAAACATCTGGAACCTATTCTATTCCATATTCATAAAGGGAGTTTTCACAGTCAATGGTATCCGGTTTGATCAAGTCAAAGTACTAGTGGAACATTTTTTCATATGTTTAATGAGTGAGTCTCTGCCACACTCGTTGAGCGTAATAGAAGTTTTTTTGGCCATATCTTTGTATTCGTTCGGATATTAAATGATGTGCTGGGTGTTCCGATTACACGTACTCTTCATAATAATAATGATAATAAATAAGTTTATTCAAAGAACATGTAAATTGTTGTATGGATTTTTTAATACAAATACAAATCAATCAATATAATCGAATTACATATTTCATTTCATTTCAAGACACAAGTATTTTTTTTTCATTCTTTCAAATGAAACGAATTTTCGGCCTATAGGTATGTTAAAACACGTACTTTGGGATATTTATGTGGGTCTATGTTTCTGCATACTCGCTTTTTTAATATTTAATTTCAATTGACATTCAATCACAACCGCAAAGCGTCCGTACAGGGTGGCTGGAATTTGAGCTTCATCATTAGGAAATTTTATGCCTAACAAAATGCCGTTTTGAAAATTTAAAAATTCCGAATACTTCCAAAGATTTTTAATATAATAATAAAAAATCCAGGACCACATTCAAAAAACAAACGTGATGATGCCAGCTCAAAGACAACACGCCGGTTTGAACATCTGGTAACACCATTTTGTAGAACAGAAAAAGTAGTGATTGGTTTGCAAATATTTTCAAGATCTGAAGTATCTTCAACAAATGGCAAATATTTTTCCTGTTGGAGGCCGAAATTTCTCCTCTTCCAATTCCTTTTTCTTTCTCTCGGAATCAAATCCACTCGAGGTCACTAGCAACCACCATTTCATCATCACTAGCTCCCAATACTTGAACATGCATCCAAGTCAGATACATCAGAGTTCAAATTATTTGCGATTCCCTCAAATTCTGCATCCGTGAATTTCACAAAAAATATGATATTTCAGATGTAGCTATAGTTTGAGACCCCTGGTATCATCAATGATACCTAACGAGTTAGAAATGAGAAATAATAAATAGCTGACTAATTATATCCTACAATGTATGTACAAAAATATCTGCTAACAGATGAACACAAAAAATCGCACGAGTCGCGTGAACTGCGATCATACGAATTTTTGCGCATTGGTTGACGCATATCAGATGCGATACCAGTGGGCAGGAAAATGATATCACGCGCTAGACAATAAAAAAATTTCAACTGTGGTATCATATATGATAACTGGGATCCGAGGAGGTTAAATGATTTTTATACAGCTCATATTAATTTCACTCTATTCTCATATCAAACTCTCTTCATGATAGTATGTTATTGAAAATTAGCACGCCTGCAGCCATCTGATATTCTGAAGAAGTGGGAATTAATAATATGAATATTATTTATGAAAGTAAGAATAATATCACTTTGTAGAGCTCCGTCCTCCGTTATTTTTGGTGACATTTCAATTGCAGCAACTGTCAAAATCACTCTGTCCTGTAGATAAACAGATGCATTTTTGAATTCTGATTATCAATTATTTCTTGAGTATTTCATGCACTAGGATTTTTTTAGCGTTGTACTGTTTTGTGGACATTGTGAGTATACGGCACAGGCTATCAAGGTGCACATTACCCTATGCTAATTCACTTTCAGAAATCTCTTGCTGGCGAGGAGTTCTTGCGATTGATTGGAAGTGGGAATTAATAAAATGAAGTTGTACTGTTTTGTGGACATTGTGAGTCAACGGCACAGGCTATCAAGGTGCACATTACCCTATGCTAATTCACTTTCAGGAATTGCTAAAAGACCTGTTACTAGTGAGGAGTTCTTGCGATTGATTGAATAATGGTATGCGCTATCAGGGCACGGGGCCCTTCATTTATTGAGAACCCGTTTTTTTTTTCTTTTTCATTTATAAAATAGATTTTTCCACTATGGGAACAATTAGTAGCATCACATTTTTTCAACTCCAAGTAAGTCAAGAACAAATTATGTAATTCTCTCATATCAATCTTTTTGTATTGTAGACCTTTCAATTAGGCTGAAGATGGTCTTTTATAAGTCCTTTGATTAAATCTAGATTTTTCAAATATCAATCACCCATTTCATTTATGGTCTTTTACAAGTCCTTTGATTAAATCTAGATTTTTCAAATATCAATCACCCATTTAATTTCTTCTGAAAAAAAAAAAGATCACCTTATGTAAGGTTATTCTTATTTCCAATAATAATAAACCTCATGAATGCTATTGAAGTATTTGAAATAATCCTGTAAATGCACACGATAATATAATGAAATGTCAGCATGAGTTGATTCAAACTATACAGGGTGTTAACAAATAAGTGTCACAACAGAAAACTGTAGATTCCTCATGAAAAAAGAAACATTCATTTCCCTTTCGAAATTTTTCTCCGGGCTTCCGTTTTCCAGATACAGGGCGTCCAAATAATACAAAAAAATCTGTTTTTTGCTACTATCTTAGGAACCGTTAGAGCCACAGAGTTTAGCTTTCGTACACACTTCATCATCAATAATGACTACTTTCAGGGCTCTTGCTCAATTTCCTTGGACATGTCAGTGGAGGAGAATTCAACGCCTTGTAAGGGTTCAACCCCCCAAACATTTATGCCACTGGAGAAATTGTAATTTTCAAAGTACATTCTGAAGAGCCAATATCTTTCAAACAAAAAACGTCCTCTTGTCCCAATGCTCTAAAGTGAATAGTTTCTGCGAAAAATGGCTCTTTATGAATAAGAACATACAAAATCCTGATGGTATCTCCTAAAATCGGCTAAAAATCCACTGGAAATAAACACCTCAGAACTGTCTAAGAATATGTTCAATCAAATGTCGAGTTCTTGAGTATGCTGGTCTGGATGCTGGTTTTCAAATAGTCAAGTTTATTAGGTGTTGTGAAGTGTGTTGAATTAAACTGAACATTTTTTATTTTTTTACGCCCTGTATCTTGAAAACGGAAGCCTGGAGGAAAATTTTGAAGAGGAAAGAAATGTTTCTTTTATTATGAGGAATCTACAGTTTTCCGTTGTGACACTTATTTGTTAACACCCTGTATAAACATCAATAGTCATAGTGGTTCATTAGTGAACCAATAAACACTTTAGAGATTGATTCAATTTTAATAAAGATATAAATCCAGCTGACATCAAACACTAACCACCATGATTATGCGACGTATTTGTATTCCATTTATAAATTAATGCTAGACAAATGCTTCAAATTGAGAAAAATAATGTTCATTACTCGCTCAAAAAATATATACAATTGCTCTTGTTTTGACTTCACTTGGCTCAATGTTTGAAAAATAATGTTAATGAAACCACATATATCTTTGAGAAAGTGGTCACGAGAGAGGTGGCAACAACAAAATCAATTGGTGTCAATATTGACGACAAATAGAGCTTAAAAACACACTATAAAAGTATCTCTGCGAAACTTCATAAGAATTGCTATATCCTATTGTCCTTAATCAATGTAGCAGATCTGAGTGTACATGTGCATCATAGAGGAGTCAGAGTCAGTCAGAGTAGTGAAAAGTCTAAGGTACAGGAATTCATGTAGGGACATTTTCAATAGCTCAAACATTTTGACCATAGCAGACTCCAATGTATTTCTTGGCTGCAGAATTCAAAATAAACCAGACAATAGTATTTAAACTGCCTCCTTTAGGTAATAAGAATATCTAAACTATTGTCGAATTCCTGTCATAATTTTCTCTATGTCTTGAATGAAATAGTATTTTGCAAAGCAATAAAACAAAAGAATATCTTGATAGCACGACACCTTCCACTTCCTCCTATCGCTAGGAAAAAACTATTACCATACTATATGACCTGCATACATACTTTTTTACGTCATCTTTCTTTTCTTCATCTTCTTCACTTTCACTATTTGAACTGGACTTTTTATCCTCATCTTGGCTACTTTCATTGCTGCTTTCGCTCCGTTTCTTTTCTTTTTTATCTCTTTTATCTTGTTCATCAGAGTCATCAGAGTCTACAACAACTCTCTTCCTAGCTTTCCTGGAAATGGTTCACATATTTATATGCAGTACTCAAAACATTCTAAATATTTCAAAAATAGTGAGTGCAGGCAAACTGAAAATTACATTAATAACATCAGTTACCTCTTCTGGATCTTTGAAGGTTGAATCTCTTCATCACTGAAGAAATAATAAATAAAAATCAGTCAATATGTCTGCATTTCAATTTATAGTATCACAAATATTTTAGTATGGAAACTAGTTAGATAGGAATTACCAAGCGTTCTTTAATTTTGATGAAATTTTACAGAATTATATTTCTGAAAATTAGATTATTTCTTGGGTAACATGGTCTATTCATGGTTGTTTCTATTTAGCTGTGATATTCATTCATAGTGACTATGATTATTTCATTATTATTTTCAAATTGTAAAACATGAAGGTATTGTAATATTAAAATTATGTCCGTGGATGAACTTTATAGAAATTGATAATAGGTATACACACATATAAGCCAATCTAATTACAAATATTCTACTAATGACAGCTAATTTTGTTTGTCGAAAGATGAAGACACTTGGCAAATGGAGAGAATATGAAGGAACACATTTGGGTGGGATTAATAATTATTTGCGAAGTAAATTGATTGATTGTTTCTACTACCACAAGAAACATAACATATATGTATGATAGGAATTCATGAACAAATATTAATAAATCATTGAAAAAATAATACAAGGTTAACTAACAACTTCCGCTCAGTGGAAACATATTCTCACATTTTCTGTCAATTCAATCAAATTGTCCTGTACTGGCCAATTATTGTTTTTCAAGATCGATACTGAATATTCTTGCATAATGTATATTTTCCAACTGATTTGGTAATGAAGTGTTTGTACTTTTCCAATAATATAAATTAAATTTTGCAAATTTGAATGAATGAAGCAATAATAATAATAAAAGCTTAAAGTAGTTGACATTTATTATTTTACAACTGTAGAATTTTTGGAACATTAGAAGAAAACGTTTGTAACTTACAAAATATTCAGGGTTTTAGTGAATAAGTGCGACAAACTTCAAGAGGTGATTCCTTGTGTTTTAGGAAATAAAGTTCAAACATATGTCCTAACTTGCGTCGTTTTCCGAGATAAAGAATGTTGAAGTTGAAAGTATCAATTATTTTTTTTATAACCTCCCTGTATAAGCTTTAATAGTGCCTTGGGTCTTCGCCTCTTCGACCGTCAAATTCCTGGTAGTCTTACTTAATGGTAGATCTCCGAATCGGTCTCTAGTCGGCGGCAGCAGCGAGCCGGCAGGTTTATTCGTTGCTCTGCGTTATTTGAAATCTATGCCGATATGCCAAACTGATGATATACAAGACATTAGAAGTATCTGGAGAACTAAACGACAGATCATATAGAAACTTTGTGGACGTGGATAATCAAACATAATATGATCTATCCGCCTATAGATATTCACGTAAACTATGTCAATATTCCATCGACACGCAAAATGACGCGTTTCTAAACTAGTTACGTAAAATTTTGTTTCAACTTTGATGAAGTATTGGACAGCTATAATGATCAGTTCGACGAGTAGTTCAATCAATTGGTATTTGCACGTGGAAAAAATTCAAGTTTTATACGTTTTTGGGGGTCCTGAATCTGAATCTCAAGTTTGCAAACAAAATTTCCTAGAGCGTTTCGAGATATTCGCACTTTTTCCAGTTTCTTGTCAGTAACATATTATATTTTAGCGAAAACACAGTACCATAAACAATTGAAGTATATACAATTTTCTCTATATAACTGTTTTTGCTCATGAATGTAGGACTAACGGGTGAGGAGCTAGAACAAGTTGATAATAGACCAAATTTGCGTATTTTGCAAAAAATAGTATTCTCGTAAATAATTCATAATCTACGCATTTCTATAAGAAACAAACTACACTGCCTGATGTGAAGAAGTCCTGGCCATGTGGGTTATTGCTTTCGTCAGCGTGTAACTCGATTCTTGATTAGTCACGGTACTTAGATATATTTACATCAACTAAGTAGAATAATGTATGCCACACCTACCGCTTGTTATTCGTTAGCGGAGAAAAAGAACCGTAGACCAGCAGACAGAGGGTGGAGTGATAAAGGATCCTTCAGGGTACCAACCCCCCGTGGGATTACCCACATCTAATCGTTTTATATAACCCTAGAATACGTATGGGACCTAGAATTGTATTGATGATTGAATTTTCCACCTGCGCATGTGGCAGGTAGACCTGTTCTAGGGGATTCAGCCTTTAGCCTTAGCGGAATAGAACATTACATGCATAAGCAAAGTAGTTGTTCCGCGGTATCGGTCACGTTGTGACAAATGTGGACAATTCAAGTCTCCGCTAGGCCCATTTTTTTTAGTAGTACCTCAGAGGGCAGTGCTTTAGCTCTGGTTAGCTGAGACCCAGTAATTTTTGATGACCTTCTTTGTTCCCGTTGGCCTGAAATTGCTCACCGAGGCTTTTTTGCTCTCTCTTTCCATTTCCTGACCTCTACGATTAGATTACATTTGCTTGTTCTACAGAAAGTCTCAGGACCAAAGAATATAGACCATGCACCTTTTTTCTCCAAGCGAAGATTGATTTCAATACTTATCATCATGAAATGGATAATTTCATAGTTTGAATAGTTATTATTTGTTTCTCATCAAAATCGATGAATACCTATATCAATCAGAATTATTTCAACGCAATTATACCAACTATAATTCCAGCTTTCAAAATAATCATTTTCGTATGTTACCCTCACCACAGAATAAAAAAAACGAAACTTTGATCTATATATACGTTTCAGAGCTTTTGAAAATATAGGTTGAAGGTAATTTAGACGAATCAAACATGTGGAAAGGATGAACTTGAGTGAGGCAACTACGACCAGCATACGTCGCCACGTCTGAGCGCTCCACCAAACGTTCACCTTCTCGCATATTAACAAACTTCACATGAGCTTTATAGGAATTCTGATGCTCTTTGTGTATGATGTGTTTTCTTGGGAAATACGTGGATTATGAATTATCAACGAAAAACCGACCAAGAACGCTATTTATTCGCAAAGTACGCAACTTTGGTCAATGTTCAACTTTCTCTAGCTCCTCACTTGCTAGTCCTTGATCCACAAGCAGAAACAATGTATGTAATGTACTAGTCCGTCAATGGCTGACTCAAAACTTAACAGTCAAAAGAATCCTAGGTTTAATCAGAAGTCTGGGGTTATAGATGGTCATTATTAGATAAGAGTAATCCCTACAACAATATAATCGTCGCTACATCGTTGTTTGGCGGGGGGCTGGTACCCTGATGCATCCGAATCTAGAGGTAGTGATGGAGCAGATCGTGATCTATTCAGGGTTCTCTCCCTCTATCTGGTGGTATATGAGAGAAACATGCTATTTTCTTTTCCCTGACGAATTTCAAGCGGCAGGTATGAAAAACATTATTCTACCTAGTTGATGTAAAAATACCTAACTACTGGGACAAATCTGAAATCGAGTTACACGCCGACGAAAGCAAATTCTCACATGACTAGGACTCCTCCACATGGGGCAATGTAGTTTGTTTCTTCTAGAAATTCTAGATTATGATTGATCTTCGAGAACGGACGAAGAACAGTATTTTTTCAAAAAACGCTGATCCATTTCCGACTTGCTCTAGCTCCTCACCCTTTATTCCAACATTCATGAGCAAGAACAAATATAGACAATTTCATCTACTTCGACTTTTTATAGGGTGGTCTTTTCGCGAAAATGTATAGTTTCCGAGTTACGGGCAAATAACAGAATGTAGTGTGAAAATGTCGGTGTTTTTGTGAATATCTCGAATCGCTCCAGGAAATTTATTCATTCATTCACAATTCATGTAAAAATGCATATTTGTGCGAGGGCGCTCAAATCAGTGAAGAAAAATGCTCCGAAATTGTTTCTGCAGAGGTCCAGCGAAAATCACTTTTGATGGTGATATTTTGAATGGATCCCGACAAAATTTTTGGCAACAAAGATAAATGTATAAGTGGAGAAAAATTTATTCAGCGAGCTCAGAGTACTTTGATTTCTGCCGTTCCTTGTTTCACCAATGATCGCTCATTAAGGTTAAACCCTTCTCAACGAAACCACCAAGTATCATTTGAATTAATGAAAAGACATTTGAGTAATGAATAAAAAAACGATTTTTCATGGAAATATTAATATCCTGTATCTCGAAAACGAAGCAAGTTAGGACACATGTTTATATGATCTTTATTTCCGAAAATATTTCAAGAAATCACACCCTAGAGTTTGTGGCAGTTATTCACAAACACCCTGTATATGATAAGTAAAAAAACAATATTGTATTAATGGGTATATTGTGTTTCATACACCTAGAATGAGCCTAAGCATATTTGCAACAAATGATACTCACTTTTTTATCACTCCATGAACTAACAAGAGTATTTGTGAGTTGTGAATATACAGCAATGCGGCGTTGCCACTTACACCAAAAAGTAGTAGCAACCTTGATATTTCAAATGAAACACCCTGTATTTCATTGCATTTGTAGATTCTGCCAGAAGAGCTGTGATCTCATCAATGTATCACACTTGGGGTCTAGCGGGAATGATTACAGAATATACGGTGTTCAAAATCGAGATTATTCTACTCAAGATTTTTTTTCGGAAATATTCATTATCGGTCAAAACGGCTTACATGTGCCTATCTTAACTTTTGATTTACTATCAACTGACATTCAATTGGAACAAATACAGGGTGGTTCAAAATTCAGAATTCTGATCACCATGTATCTGTTCCAATTAAATGTCAGAGATGGTAAATCAAAAGTAAATGTCAGATAATGAATAGTTCCGACATAAACAAACCCAAAGTTGAAAAATCACGATTTTGAACACCCTATATCTCTGTAATCATTCCCGCTAGACCCCAAGTGAAATCAGCTCTTTAGGAAGAATCCACAAACGCAATGAAATACAGGATGTTCCATTTGAAATATCAAAGTTCCTACAACTTTCTGGTATAAGCGGCAACGCTGCATTGCTGAAAATACTTCATATCGATAGACCAGGTGCAACTACTTAAGTAACCAAATTTCCAGAATGATACTATGTCCCGTTCTCCGTAAAAGTCTAAGGTACGATCTACCGTGACCCACCCTGTATAGCAAGTATCATTTTGTGTTGATATATTAAAATATAATATAATCATTAGATAATGAGCCATTTAGTGTTACACTACTGTTTATATTTGGTAAGATTCAACAAAGGACAATATTCTGTGATTTTGGATGTTGTTATTTTTTCTACTCTTGCAACAAATTGAATACTGGAAGTCATTCGGGTCGATTCTGTTCGGATCTTGTTATAACATTGCTAAGATAATAATATTGTTATGATCATAACATTTAACAATATTGCTATGAAGTTCTGTATTCTGTTTGCAGGATAACTGCAAGAATGGTTATAAGTTCAAGTGATAGCAATATTGTTGAAAAATTGAGAATTGTTGAGCTGACAACACTGTTTTCAACTCATTGTTTAAGTGTTAGGTATTGATTTTGCCATTATTTCATGAAGAAGAAGAGTTCATGATTATCTAACCTCTCAAATTAGTCAGTCCTGCACTGACATTTTACAAAGTTATATTGTTCAAATCGAGAGATTTTGTATTTGCTGAATCTGGCCACAACTAAAAGCCGGATGAAACGAATCGTGATTTTTTTAATATTCTAGCAAAATAGCTTGATAAACTATCCATCAGGCAACTGAAATTTCTCTGATATGCCGAAATTGTAGACTCATATTTCCGCTACAAATTGGAACTTCAAGAAAAGGTTTTCAAGTAGTTGGTCACAGTAGTGAACCTATATGTTTGTAATCACCGTTTTTCAATAATTCTTCTACGAATTGTAACTTTGAGGAAAGGTTTTCGAGTAGTCAGTGACACAACTGAACTCTGATATGTTTTTAATCCACTATTTTCTGAATTTTCATACAGTTGAAAGAATTTGTAGTGCAAAAACAAAGAATCCACTACCTTGTTATAAGATAGCAAGCACAAAATTGATGTTGCCGAGATAGACCAGATGTCATTGAAATTGACAGATCATATTGCCAAAAATCGATGATTAGAATTCCGCTTTTTCGAATCTTGCTATGATAGCAATATCTTCTCTACAACCATATTGCTATTTGCAAACAGAATCGACCCGATTGTGTGTTATCATGTCAATTATAGTTGGTTTGAGAAATAAAGAGACCTAGAAGTTTATTTTGCTCTAATTTTCAATTATTAACAATCCACTAGTTTTTGTCGAAATATAAATAGACTAACTTTTGAAATTGGTTTTACATTTGATACTTTTGTAGCTATCCTCAAAACAGGAAAATATTGTCAATGGGGGGTTTTTAATGTCCACTACATTATACTACTGGAAAGAGCCTAAATCAGAAATTATATTTTGAGATTCATGATATTTGATGATTATTGACATTGAGTTGTATCCTAGTCCGCTAATGACATAGCGTCAGCCCACTGTTTATTGGCGTTCCAATTCAGGTTTTCAAGAATGTTTTTCCTTTCTTTTAGGACCCGAAGGGTTTAGTTGATGATTCTAATAGATTCCATCGGCAGGAACTGGTGGTGTTTCTCCACTGATTACCTCTATACAACATATGCGAGTAAAAAGGACATATACAGGGTGATCCACGGTGGATGGCCTATTAGAAGTATCTGGAGAACGAAAAGACAGAACATTCTGAAAATTGGGATGTTTCGATAATTGAACATTCTCTATCCGGCTAAAATATTTTCATTGATACAGTGTTGCCACTTCTATCAGAAACAACTAGCAACTTTGTTATTTCAAATGGAACACCCTGTATTTTATTGCATTCTTATATTCGTCCTGAAGAGCTGATTCCATCAATGTATCACACTTGGGGTCTAGCAGGTTATGATGATTACAGAGATATAGGGTGTTCAAAATCGAGATTTTTCAATGTTAGTATTTTTTTATGTCGAAAATATTCATTATCGATCAAAACGGCCTACATGTCCCTATCTTAACTTTTGATTCGCTATCTACTGGAATTTAATTGGAAAAAATACAGGGTGCTTCAAGATTCCGAATTCTGATCACCATGTATCTGTTCCATTTAAATGTCAGTAGATAGTGAATCGAGAGTTAAGATAGGGACATGCAAGTCGTTTTGATCGATAATGAATAGTTTCGACACAAAAAATCCTAAAAAATTGAAGAATCTCGATTTTGAACACCCTATGTCTCTGTAATCATTCCTGAGACTCCAAGTGTGATACATTGATGGAATCAGCTCTTCAGGAAGAATCTAAAAATTCAATAAAATACAGGGTGCTCTATTTAAAATAACGAAGTTGCTTGTTGTTTCTGATAGAAGTGGCAACACTGTATCGATGAAAATATTTTCGACGGATAGAGAATGTTCAATTATCAAAGCATCCCAATTTTCGAAATGTTCTGTCTTTTTGTTCTCCATATACTTCTAATAGGCCATCCACCGTGGATCACCCTGTATATAAATTCAGTGCAGAAACAATCCACCAGTTCCTGCCAATGGAATTCGCTATCAATTTTTCTGTGAGTGAATGAGTATGCATCTATCATGTATCACGTGATTCATTGTGGCCAATGAAACAATGAAGTTTGGGATTTCTTCACAAACTTTGGGCTCACGTCGCTACTGAGACGTGAAGTCAAGGTTATTAGAATTATTAGGTGTGTTTCTTTTTCCGTTTCAAATCTTCTATGCTAATGTAAAAGATGCGCACAAAACAAAAGCATGGAAAAACCCTATGCTGGCCAAGGATACTCAAACCACAACTTGGATTTATTGTATTTGTTTACATAGCAACAAGTTTGCAAATCAGGAAATTTGGGGACTTTTGACTTTGACATAGACCTCACAATTCAGTCACGCCAGCTGGTGAGACTGAAAATATTGGCCTTCATTGAATTTTGACATAAAGAAACTGAATTATTCAATTCTAGGTCTTTTGATCCTGTATTCAAAATAATACAAATAATGCCATAATACTTCAAAGAATAATTTCGAAATTACCAAGGGACATGGTAAAAATCTGAAACTTTCTGATGTTGAATCGATATTCACTTAATGAAATCATCTTGGTGGTCATCCACCCATATTCATCGACATATCGATTAATATATTCTCGATTTTTTTCATCAACTAAGATTATGACAATGCATAACCACTAAATAGATTGAGTTTTTTTGTTTTTGTTTTTATCGCTTGGAGCGCACGAAAGGGAATCCCAATAATGTACAAACCTCATAATTTCCGATTTAGATTTATCTTTCTTTGTGCAGTATTTACTGAACTCTCCCTCTGAATCAGTGCTGTCGAGCTTCTCAGTGAGTAATTTATCTTTTTTCCAATCTTTCTTCTTTTTCTTCTCCTTTTCACTATCTTGTGTCACATCATCTCCTCCATCAGTTTTCTAAAACGAATATTTTAAAGGATGTATTATTGAATATCGGGAATGAAATTATCAACAGTTATATCACAATGTTCTGAATATTCGAGATGATTCTGTCGCTTCATTGTTCACGAAATTGTGTTGTCGAGTTCGTCAGGACGAGTGGTATTACTGAACGGCAACACAATTGAGTAAGCAATAAGACAGAATTATGAGAAGATATTTACAACAGAGTGGTATTTTGCTAGACTATTCCACGTTCACGAAGCATAAGAAGCATTTATTATAAATGAACAAGCCATATAACCAAAGCGATTCAGTCTGACAACTACAGATAACTGTGATGATTATAAAATCATTTTACATGCCAAACTGACAGACTTTGCATCGCTATCCATGGTTACATCGTTGAAAACGCCAACGCTGATAAAGCAATCAGAATTGAAAGACAGGCCTGTGATTGGTCAGATTATGTGAGAATTTTAAGATGAGTGAAATAGTCAAAGGAAATACCACGAGTCCTTCAAATTATATCGATTATTATTTTCACATGCCAAAATGTGATAACACTGCATGATCCTCCATAAAACCTTATTTACATTCAACTGTCAAAATTAATCTGACTAACCAATTTCCGCCATTTTTTACTTTCGACCTACATTATTTGTAAGTAACAATAGAATCAATAATTATTGATTCTCAAAGAAAACGAAATGTTACGTTTTTAATCGTCGTTCAACTTAATAACACGAATACTGTTTCAGGATAATCCGTGAAAATTGACAATTGACTGGTTCTCGAGAACAAGAGTGGAATAGTCATATGTAATACCACAAGTGATACTATTTTGCCGGAAATATTCGGCGATTGTTGCAACAGGTTTTTGCCTAATAGTTTCGCGAATGACATGTAATGTGAATGAATGTTTATGAAAACTTTCGAGCCGTAGGCGAGAAGTTTCGGAATTATCTCATGAGCGAAATTAAAGCAGCAAGCTATTGTATGTCAATCGACGGATATTTCCAGGAAAAATGGTATCACGAGTTGTATTTGTATGACTATTTCATGATTGAGACAATAAACGAGCGCCTCTCGAGAGTTGCGCATACTGCATCCATCATTCTAGCTTCAGAAATTTTATCAACAGTAAAAACACAAGAGCTTTTTTTTATCCAATTAAAAAAGTTCCAGTGTTTTTTGGCAAACATCAACGACAATATAAAAATTAACAACAATAATGATTACCTTTACTGATAATTTCATGTTTCTTGTAGTATGTGTAATTGATTTTCTTATATTTTTTGTGGTTGCTAATTTACGCGTGAAAAATATTCAACAATCAACCTTAACACGACAGAAATTGGAGTGACATCAGATGCATACCTACTAGATGAAGTATGGTTTTGAGAATGATGGAAGTAAGATATGGTGCGCGTATTCAGCCATTATTACGTATTGAAAATTTCAGAAAAATCACTCGACCGCCTACTATGATTTCTCTACGTCACAACGAGCGAGACGTTGATTCTACATTTTCCCGCTAGATGGTGATGCTGCTATTGCTGCTGTAACGAGTGGAAATAAACTGGCAAATGGCATTTTAGGTACGCGGAACATCTGTAACAGTGGGATTATTCAACTCTTGAATTCGAAAAATCTGCGACAATTTCAAAACATGGATGTGCAATGTCGCCATCTATTAGAAGATCGATGGAACCATTGCTCTCGCCTTTCTCGAGAGATCGAGTAAAATTTCTGAAACAAAAGCGCACCAGTAATTACACCATATCTTACTTCCATCATTATTTTGAGGAACAAGCATCTTTACAACGATTTTTTTATCGATGTCAAAATTAATCACGTTATCTTCAAGTGGCGTTTTCTGTGGATAAGTTGATTTATCGCTAAAAAACGAGGTTGGTTGGTCACGTGTGGGTCAATTCGGCTTCTGTATTAGTAGAGCAAGCCCTATAAAATTTAGTAAACAAAGCTGTAATACAGAAAAAACCGTGTAAATGGCCGATTCTGATTGGTTCTCGAGAACAAGTCAGAATAATACTAAATGATTGGCTAGAATCACGCATTTTTATTGGTTGAAATCCTCGCAATGACAGATTTTGACATGTGAAGGAAATAATCACACAAATTTTTACAAAAAAGTAATTCTTCATAAAAAGTTCAGGCCTAAAACCAAAAATGCAATTATCAAAAATAAAGTTTTTTTCAGTCATATTGTTTTTGTTCTAAAATTGTTTATATCCATCATTCGGTTGCCTCCTTTTTCAAGAGACTTGCGCGAGCAAGGAATGATGGGGGTCTTACCTTCTAACGTGTGATCCTAAAACAGTTTCTTAGGCCATTAGAAAAATTTCTGCGGTCGTGGTGGGAATCGAACCCACCTACTGACAATCCAACGTGGATAGAATACTGGCGTTTCAACCACAAGGCTACGCTAGTCACGAGGTATGTAAAAAAAATCATTTTGCTCAAGAGTAAAGTACCTTCATTTTCTACAATATAAAAAATTATTGAAAAAAGTTTACTAGAATTGAAAACTATGTTCAAATATCTATTTACATCTATCTACGATAAAAATCAGGTTGTGTCATTTACCTGAGCAATATTCACATTTTTTTTACATACCTCGTACACGACCGAAGAAAGTTGATATCTGATATTTGCATATTAGGCTTTGGACTTTGCAGAACTTTGACTTTTGTTTTCTATTTGTTGCTAACTTTCTCAGACATACTGTATATTAAGTGATGTAATTTTTCACATTGAGGAAAAAAACAATGAGAAACATTATCAGATATTTGAGGTCTTATTAGTACCTTACCACTGTCATTTTCATTTTCCTCATTTTCTTTGCCTTTGCAACAATAAGAGTACTATTCAAGACCTACTCAAAAATGTAAGTTCTACTTACTTTGTCTTCCACGGAAGTTTCACTTTCTGATAAATCCTTATCTTGAACTTGCTTTTTTGATAATTCTTTGGCAGTTTCATCAATTGTTGTATCCTAAAATAATAATCATCAGACATTCTTACAATAATAGGATAATTCTACGTTATTACATCCTTGGAGGATTCCACAGAATCTTCACCCAGTAGCCCCTTAGATTTCTCCTTGTCTTGTTTCGAATCAATTGTTTTCTTTTCAGTCTTCTTTGTGGATTTAATGGAATCAGTATTTTCCTCGTCAGAGCTATCCTTAGACATATCATCATCATCAGCAGACTTAGACTGTTCCTATAAATATTGAGAAATCAGGATACATTAGCCTGAATTGACAAATAAATTCTCGTGGTATACATATTACTAGAAGAAATCACATGGGGAAATGGGGATTTGTTTGATTATAGAAATGATATGAATTCAATCAAAAATACTGTCTGTAGGTTAATTAAAAGTTGGAAAATAAATTAGCAAATCAATTCCGGAGGATTATGGATTACAATATCATGTCAAATTTTCAGAAAAAATGAACAAAACCGCGTAAATTCACAACAACAACAAAATGAACTTTATTGAGTATAAATACTCAAAAGGCCATCGACCGAGGTCCTTCAGCCACAGCACAAGTTTTATATATCCATATAAAGATTATTGTTAAGAAAATGACATAGTTTCTCTGAAAAAAAAAAGTCATATAACTGGTCTCTATCGTGGTGGAAATGTCTACTAGGAGAATCATCGCACTATAGTCTCTCCCATAAAGTGTGCTCCGGGTGTTTGTATTGTGTTCTTCTATGGTTTCTTCTGATACAGAATGGAGAGATGAAATTCTTATTTTCGGCTTTCTCACTGAATTTGAAGGATTAGTCTTTCCTCAATAGGCTGTACTCTCGTTGTTTCATACAGTAGTTCATTGGGTGGATTGTGGATGGGATTGTTAGGATGTCTTATTCTGGTAATGATACGTAGAGCAGTTGTTTCAGCTGCTTTGAGATTTTTTAAGGCAGGATTTCTCAAGTTCTGGAATATTATATGTCCATATTCAAGCAGTGGTCTGCAAATCATTTTGTAAATTCTAGTTTTTGTGTATAAATTGATGCCATGTTCTTTTTTTGACATTGGTTGAAAATGTTTTGCTCTTGATATGGTTTTCCTTTTCACATTTCCAGTATGTAGTACATTGAAGTTGATTTTGTGATCCATATCAATTCCTAGATATTTTGTGGTATTTTCCGATCTTAGTTCATGGTCCTGCAAAGTAACTGTAGGAGATGCAGGTGATGTCGAATGGAAAAATATTACTAAATGTGACTTTCTTGGATTTGGTTTCAGACGCCATTTATTGAACCATTCTTTAGTCCGCATTCGCTTGCCGGTCGTCGGTTCGATTCCCATCAACTGCAGACATTTTTCTGATGGCCCAAGAAATTGTTTGGGATCACACGTTAAAAGGTAAGGCCCCCGTCATTCCTTGCTCGCACAAGACTCTCGAAGACTTCTGAGGGTTGCTCGTAAGGGGGCAACCGAATGACGGATAGAACAATTTTAGAACAATTTCAATTTCAGGTTTCTGGCGTGTGCGACCAAGGCAGTGTCATCTGCATATTGTAGTATGTAGTTATTGAAATTGAAATATTGTGGGTCCATGTGGTATATATCTGAACAGTATATGTTATAGAGTAGGGGTGATAGTGGTGATCCCTGTAGAACTCCTTGTTGTGGTGTGAATTCGTGTGATAATTTGTCTTGAACTTTCACTCTCAAATTTCTCTCACTTACTAAACTGTCTATTATGTGTAACAGATATTTCGGGCAGTTGAGGGAGTCTAGCTTGAATATAAGGCCTTTCGTCCATACACTGTCGAATGCTTTATTAATGACTAGAAATATTGCTGCCGTTTTGTCGCCAGTGAGCTTAGCCGCTCCTATGTTGTTGGTGAGTATTGCGAGTGGGTGAGTTGTAGAACAATGACTTCTGAATCCAAACTGATACCCTGGGATATGAGGTCCTATTGATGTCAGTAGCCTATTTTTTATAATTTTTTCAAAATTTTTTCCCAGCACTGGAAGCAATGTGAATGGCCTATAACTGGTAGGTTTTGAATGATCCATGTTGGGTTTGGGAATTGTAACGATTATACCGGTTTTCCATTCTCTAGGAATATAGCTGTTTTTTAAGTATTGGTATTGGTAGGTTGGATGGTGCCCCATCTGCTCCTGCTATATCAAGGATTTCTTGTTCATAGCAGCCCCTCGAGATTCAATTCCTTCAGGAATTTGAGGATTTTGAGGGGGTCTAGCTGTGGTATTTCTTCCACAGTCAGCTGGTGTGTTCCCAGTATGTTCAATCTTTTGTGATGTACAGCGTCACACTCCATCAGTATGTGATGGGGTGTTTCTGGCTCTTCCTCACAGAATCTGCAGGTGCCGTCCTCCTGTTAGCCTAGCTTCCTTAGGTGTTCTTTGAGTCTGCAATGCCCCGCTAGAAATCCCGTTATTGCTTTGAGACTTCCTTTGCTGAGGTTTGTCAATGTCTTAGATCTTTCTCGGTTGAAATTTCCAACCGTTTTAAGTAGAACTGATATATTTGAATGATATATTGATGGATCTCGTGATGTAGGTGTTTTATTAGTGATTTTTTGATAAAGTCGTGTCCGGGTGCAGTATTTTTGCCTTGGTGTATAGTATAGTATTCATCTTCAAGCTTCTGGTGGGTCTGAGTAATGTTCGTTATACCATTCTATGATCATTCCATAGTGAATATTAACGAAGTTAACGTCTTCACCTTCTCTGTAGGTCTCTTCAAATTGTTCAGCATATATTTTAGCTTTGTCTTCGGGCAGCTCCAATTTTTGTCCATTTACTTCAAGCGGACTACTGCTCTGTGCCTTACTTTTATATTTAGAGATTCTCTCAATATCTTGCCAATAGGTTTTTCCTTGTTTATCGTTGATCTCCTCACATATCTTAAGCCACTTATGTTCTCTGTAATGTTGAATCAGCATCTGGATGTTCTTATTATATTAAATAAGTTCTTTTTTGAGAACAGGGTTGACATTATTCTTATACTCTCTGTACATTTTTCGTTTTCTTTTGATTAATTGTATGATGAATGATGGGTGAAATATCGTATTTCTTTTTTGGGAGTGTTTTCAATAACAACTTTTGTTAATTCAGAGTCAAAGTTAGATATCATTCTCCTGTTCATGTCCTGTTCATATCTGGATTCAATATACCTCAACATTTCTGTATTGACTTTCTGAATGTTTGTTTTAGAGAAATTATATTTTTCGATTCTGGTATAATTAAGTGGAATGTGGGGGTCAATGGTAATTCTAAAGCCTAGGTGGTCTGAGCCAAACTCAGTTATATTTTCGACGTTTTTGATATTTTTTCCTAGGTTTAATGTATGCAAAATCACATCTGGTGTGGAGTCTTTGTTGTTATTCACCAGGAAGGTAGGTACGGTGTCATACTTCACAAAGTTAGTATTATTTATGAAGTCATTCATTTGTTTTTTCTTTGGCTTGGTGGTTGCATTAAAATCTCCAATTATAATTACATAAATGTAGAGGCTGCTCATCGTGAATATGTTTTCCTCTATTCTAGAGTGTGGGTGGATGTATACAAGAAATATATGTAAATTATCGTCTAAGAATGGAATTGAAAAGTGAATACATTCGTTTAGTGGATTATTAATAGTTGGTGCATTACCTTTTCTCATTTTCAGGTTTGGGTCGATTTTGACTAGACTACCCCCTCTGGCATGGTTGTGAATTAGGTGACCATTTTTTTGTATAATATTCCAATTCTTGAATATTCAATTCAATTTAATAATAATAATTTACTCCATTTGGAAATTTTATATAAAACATAATAACAAAAAATGAAACAGTGTCACAAAACAAAGAAAATTCAAATTTAGATATTCAAATTTAAATATTCATCTAAGCATATGGTTCTAGTTCAGTAAGCCCGTTCTTCAGATGATTCTTAAATTATGATCTATCAATACTCAGAGCATTTGCTTCCAAGGGGAGTTCTTTTAAAAAATGATTAATAATCTGTATTAATCTTCTAGTAAGTCATATCCTCTGAGTGCCAATTCCAAAACGCAATGCCATTCAAACTCACAAGCTCAATTAGCACATTCTTTTGTTGCCAATCTTGATATTTGTCGAACAATGATAAAAAAATATATCAATATCTACCACAAAGTAAATAAAGAAGTAATACGAAAATAATTACTTTCAACAACCAATACTTGAGAAATAGATCATTCAAGAGAATTTTTTGCTGATTCGAGAAACTATCATTAAAGCATCAAAAACTCGTATAGGTTGTCCATAAGGAACCTGTATGTATTTTTCATTTTCACCCCCCCCCCCCCTCTGCATCTCATGAATCATGATCAGAAGATTTCACTACTAAAGAAAACTTTGAACAATTTCATAATAGAAGATCATGAAGGATCTGAATCGTAGGATTTTTTTTCTCGCCCAATATCTCAATAACGAACCGTTTTTGAGCATATGTTTATAGGAAAATATACTATTATTTCATCCAGTTTTATCTATTTCTAGAGTTTTGATCATAAAAATATTTCCACCCTGTAGGTATTTCGATGTATGTCATGACGTTGTCCTTCACCTTTTGGTATGCAATTCAGGCTATATTCCGAATTCAACTGGCCAGTACTGTAAGTTCATCCACTGACTCTGCTGAAAATCTGTGTTCCGAAATATAAAATCAAAAATTCACTACTGTAATTCGGGACACGTTTTCATGGTTTTCATCAGTAGTAGTTTCTCGTTTATCTGAACTAGATGTTTAGCCTCCTACTTGTTATAAATTTTGGAAATTTATTATTTAACATGGAAGAGAAATCGATTCTTGTATCCTCTATAGTTTCTACATCCCTATTTCTACGATTGTTGACGATGGCGATTCTAGCTCGAGTGATGAAGAATACTTGGACATTTTGTTGCCATAAATTTCTCATGATGCACCAGATTGAGAATTGAGATTCATGAAAATCGCAATATGCCTTCATAATGATGAATTTTAGGAGACATTCCAGGTTTATTTAGTTTATTTAGCCAATGCTGGCTCCTTTCGTTACCTGCTCTACTACTTCATACTCCAGGTATTTTCTGATATTGAGAATCATTTCATTAATAACGGAAATGAATGTTACATTCCTTCCCCCTCTAAAATATGACAGTTCACTGAAGCCACACTACCTTTTGATACTCAGCAATTCCAGCAGAATGTTGAGTCGAAATATTTGGAATGAATAGTATGTCTGCTGACAAGCATCTGTCACTTCCAGTGAATATTTTGATTTCGGAATAGAAAATCAGCAGATTAAGTACTGTCAGTTGAATTCGGAATATAGCCTCAGTAGAGTCACTGGATGGTATTAGTTTGATAAGAGTTCGGACACAGAAATGACAACAGTTAGGGTTTTTGAATGTTTAGATTTATAAAGTTACACAGTCATCTTGCATTGTGACAAGAGCACCATAGTCGTCCCGCGCTATATCATTCAAAATTTTTTGAATTTGACAATTCATTTTATAAACGTCAGAATTGAAATAAAATTTCATAATTATTATACTTTCGAGATAAAAGCAGCTATGGAAATCACTTGCTGTATAATAAATTGTGCCAATTTTGAAACAAATGGATATCATTTATTCGATTTTCCAAATCAAATATCAAGCATTCACTTATGGAAGGAAGATATGAAACGGCCTGGGTGGAAAATCAATTTGAAGACGAGCGAAATTTGTGAGGTACTCATTGAAATTCACTTCTTATAACAGCATCTGATTAGAATGAATCTATATTCTAGGCCCATTTTCAAATAGAAGATTTCAAAATCTGTTTGGGAGAATCTGCTGTTCCATCAATTCACAAAGCAGACGATTTCAAGAACAAATTTCCATTATTATCATCACACAAAATACAAAACAAAATAATCATGGAAAAAGGGGAAATGATCGCAAAATTACATTATGAAATTGAAAATTTGAAAACGAAACTAAGAAAAAGTAAACTACAACGTGATATATTATTGAATGGCGTTTTTGGTGCTGACCTCGAATTCAAAACTCAACAGTGAAAAGTGAATAGATATTTATGTATCAGGGGAATTATTATAAGGGCCTTAATTACGCTGAAGGTTATCGTTTTGGAGATATTTTCTATGTTTATCGAAAAATGATTTGTTCTCTGTATTTCAACACCCTGTATCTCCGAAATAAAGCATTTCCAGACACAAGCTTATATAGACTTTATTTCTTGAAATTGTCTCAGGAATTCTTCACTGGAGTACAGTTTCACATACAATAAGGAATTATAGCTATAAGTTTATCCATATGTATATATTCTCTGATATTAAAATGTTACATGCATTTTTTTCATTTATATAAATCTTGCTCTGCTAGAAGTGTATCACTATGAATTGAAGTAAGTGTTTGTACCCTATATCCATTGTCCATCTACGGCTATGATTGATTCGACAGAAAATATAACCTCTAAAATCGTATCTGACAATCAAGCGCTACTAGGGGAATTGAAAAGACAAAGAGCAGAATATATGTCTTATTCTTTTATTCACTTAAACCATTGTATTATAGAAAATAGAAAAGGACAAAAGTTCAGCTGTGTCCGAACTCTTATCAAACTAATACCATCCAGTGACTCTAAAATTCAGCATATAAACAAGTTGATATATGATCGATACGTACACCTAATTTCAGGACTTTATCTCATCACATTGATTTTCCGATTTTTTTCGCAACTTCGACGCGGTGTAGACACTTTAGCCCCTGGAAAACTGTCTGCCAATAGGCGAGTGTACTAGTTTTTCTTATTACATAAATATAATCATCACTCAAATACCTTTCAATTCCATATTTTTCAAGACATTTTCGGTCGTTTTCATCAATGCCACGGTAATTTTTAAACGGCTAGAAATTTACCGCGAGAGTAAAAACTGACGTCATGATTTCACAAGTAGGGGCAGACCATAGCACAGTTACCATATGTTGAAATGCGATTGGAAACTTCAGAAATATTAACAGAAATATTAATTATTCAATAACATAAATAATCAATTATGTATTGGTAATATTCCTGATTAGCAATAAAAAATCAATTGTCTCAAAATTTTCCCTCATGTGTTGTGGCTTATTGCTTATAATTCATTTGTGTAGCTGGGCATTATTTGTATTTACATATACTTTTTAGTATTTAAATACTTTTCGGTATTTAAATACCGAGTATTAAAATACTTTCTGGTTCAGGTATTTTCAAATTATTTATCAATTTTTTCTTGAATAGTTTTTTTTACCAAAAATCCTGAACTGAAATTTGGAAATGATCAGCTGCCAAATCAAATGATGAAGAGCTTGCGAATTGGTGAACATGATTATTGTGGTCAATAACTCAACACAAATGAGGAATAAATGAGAAAAACATGAAAATTCTAACATCATCAACGAGTAGTATGAGGAAGTTCCAAAATGAATTGTGTTATTTAGAAAAAGGTCGAATGTTGAATTTGTCATTCTTTGAAATACCAAAATGTGGTTCAATGCTGTACTCCAAAAAAGTTACATCAATTATCATCAAAGAGAATGTGAAATACCTAACTCCCTGTATGTTAATTGAATTGGTATGCCATGTTCTCCATGCACATTCACTATAGTAAATTGCCCTAAGAATTTCAAAGCAGTAAATTTCAAGGATTTTGAAATATTGAAGAAAATCTGAAAATAAAATTATTCCTCATCATTCTCCCACGGGTCAACGGTGCATTTTCATATAGAGATAAGTTGATTTCAATGGGCCTATTTTGTATTTCCACAAAATTCTTGAAACCCGACATGTTTCAGTGAAATACTGGTACAATGTACTTGTTCATTGTACCAGTGATTGAGAATTTTATGAAAATCTTATCGTTTGTGAAGTTTTTACAATTGCCATGGATTTCCATAAAGTAACGGCCAAGTCAATTCAAAGAAAGAATAGAATGTATGGAAAACTGAAGCACAGCAAATCAAAGCAAGGTTTGAACATAGAAAAAAGTTATCCATACACATTTTCATATTCCTAGGGAGCAAGATGCTAGCAAGTTGAATTATTTGCCAATGGAAGTATTCCGAATAACTTATAACCTCCAAAAGTTGAAAAAAAAATCAACACCTACAACCTCTCCCTATCCTCCCTAGGTATGCGCGATATTCCATGAACATTATAGGAAAATCCTTTCATGCTCAGCAAGAGAGAAAAAAATCTTCATAATCCCATATATTTTTAAAATCAGATAAAATTTCATTGGTCCTTGAAAAAGATAACACTAGTGTAATAATTCTTTCATAATTCTATTATTGAGATGCCAATAGTGATATGATAGAAAAATATAACCTGTATAGGTTTCATCTGGTTTTAAAGTTAAAAGGATTCAAATGAATAATCTACTAGGTACTATACCATAGCAATGTCAGCTATAATTTCATCACCATCAGCACCAGCAACAGGTTCTGTTGTATCTTCTGGAACAATTTTCTTTGCAAGTGGTTCATCATCAGAACTATCCCCTTCCTTTTCATCAGAGCTATCAGCTTCAGCTACAATGGTTTTCTTGTTCTTAGATTTCTTGGTTTTTGGTTTTTCACTATCACTTGATGATTTTGAATCTCTTCTGTGTATTCTTTTTGCCCTTCTTATTGAGCCTAGTCTTGTCAAACTAAAATGAAATATCCATATTATAAGAGAGAAATAAAAAAAAAATTGTTGAAATAAATAAAATGAGCAATTCTAACACAACTAATGATTTAGCTAGAACCCACCATAAAAAACATAAACATTTCAATTCGACACTGAAAATGTAACAGTGCTTGCTAAAATAAATATACAGCTGTTAACCAAAACTACAAAAACCTCTGGATGCTGAAAAAGGCTATTCAATAAATAGAAATAATGCTGGTACATGTTAACATTCATTGTCCATACAATTAGATTGATTCAGATGCCAACAATCAATATTTCTTCAAGCTGGCAATTGAAGAAAAAAACTACATCTGGCACAAAAAAATCAAATCTAACATTCTATTTTGAAGCTAAGAAGGATCATGAAGGGTACCCAGTTTTGAATGAAGTTGGTTGGAACAAAAGGAGAGTTGTCAATTTAGGTGGATGATTCAGTAGTACAGCACTGGCCGTTCTTTGAAAAGTTATATGTATAGATGAATACTTGATATGTTTTTGTTAAAATGTATGAATTTCATTAGATTTTTTATAATTATTATATTATTATATTAAGGATGGCATTTGAAAACATGGCAGCTATGGAGAATAGTGGTTGTGTTTCACTGTGGTGGTCAGACATATGATAGCCAAATTAGTCTCTCTTGTATGTTGTATGTTCCCCTTTGGGTAACAATTGGGCAAACAATATGTATACCTAATACAAATTCAATATAATAATCCGATGTCCGATGTCCGACAATTCCAAAACCAGATTGCCTGAGTTTCTATTGAATTCCAACAGTACAAAATTTTTTATAGACAATAACCAGGAGCAATTAGGTGAGAATATGATGTATATTAGATACCCACATTGTAATATTTGAACAAATATTGTATACAGGGTGTCCAGGAAGGTCATGTCATAAATGATAAGGCTGATAGAATGAGCCAGAATACTTCATATAAAATAATGTCTATGGCACTTCCTTTTGAAGTTATTGACCTTGAAAGTTTCGAGTTATGGACCTTGGAAGTTTCTGCATTTACTCCCTAACAAAGTGCCATTAACTTTTTTTATATAAAGTACTAACATTATTTTGACTCACCCTATCAGTCCCATCATTTATGACATAACCTTTCCGGACACCCTGTAATCACATATTCCATCACACTAGTGCATAACATTTTTTATGCATCATGTGTGTGAATACATTTATGGCCTTGGTACATCAAATACTAACATAAAATTGACAAGTAACAAAAACTGTTTTTATCAAGGATAAAAAGTCAGTGGAACCTATTTATTCCATCAATTCATTCATTTACTGAGAGCAGGCAAGTTTTTAAGATTCAATTTTCTTTTTCAGAAACTGTTTAGTTTGAAAATGTGAAAAATAAAAGAAATATTCAGGAATTCATTATTCCTCAACCACAATTCACTCAGCATAATAATTTTGTTAGTGACTTCCTATGTACATATTGTTTTCAAACTCTTAGGCTTCAGTCAGGGCAAATCAAGTTTATCAAAAAACAATTGCAGTTTTATGCAGCATCTCCACTCACTTCAAAGGGAATTTCAAACCCTTTGATGCTGTATTGTGCTGGATATTCTCCAATTGGTTTTGGATATACTAGGGGCAAATTTATTGAGGAAACAAAATAAGAATTGTGGAAAGTAATAATTATGAGACAAATAATGTTTTCAACAAAATTAGCATTAGAAATTATCATATAAACATCATGTAGATATTGTAAAATCTCAAACAGAATATCATACGAGATATCATACATTCATCAGATGTATGGTTTGTAAAATTAGTTTTATTGTTCTGACAAACCTTCTGATCTCTAAAATTTCTTTATTTCTGAAATAGACCTCCTTCAGCTTTTCACATTCAATTAAAGGTAATGGGACATACACTTTCCTTCCAAACTTGTCATCACTCTCTTCATCAACAGATGCATTATTCCTAGATTTTTTCTTGCTACTCTTTGTTGCTGTGGTGGTATTCTGCTCCACTTTATCAATATCATCTGATAGACTAGATGTATCAGTTAAGACTTCAACTATATCCAATTTTTTTTTAGAATTTCTCTTCATTGGTGCTTTCTGATCATTCAATTTTTTAGAGTTCTCAGCAATGCTGAAAGATTTATCAGAATTTCTTCTAAAAATTTTCTTTAGTTTTTCCCTTTTCTGCAAATGTTGCTTATTAATATTTCTCAATCTCTTGGACTTTCTTGATTGAACTGCTGAATCACTATGTTCAGAATCACTTCTTTTACCAGAATCATTATCCTCATTTTCAGAATCAGAATTACTTTTATGTTTGCTTGTAACTGCTTTGCTTTTCTCAGTGACCCCAGTATCTGGATCTGATTCATGATTTTCTATTTGTTTTATACCAACCTTATTTTTCATTTTATTCTCATTTTTCTCTGAATCAGAATTAGAATTTTCCTTTTCAGACTCAGATGTTTTTGTACATTTTTCTTTTTTTACTTTATTCATATCTGTCAATGAATCATCTTTCTTCTTATTTAGTATTTCATGTTTAGATTTGGTGCTATCAGAATCAGTTTCATTTTTATTTTTAGGTGATGAATTTTTCAGAGCCGACCTTAATTTATTGTGTTGCTCAGTAGAATTGCTCTTTCTTTTTGATGGACTTGAAGAATCCTCATCTGAGCTAGTCAATATTATAACAGAACTGTCAAATTTCACAGATTTCTTTGGTTTTGGATCAATGAGCTTGTTGAGGTCAATAACTCTTATAAGAGATTTAGGGGCTTCAGAATCATTTTCCTCATTTTCATTATCTTCATCTAACTCATTTTCAGAATGTTCTTCTGTTTCTGGGCACTTATTCTCCAAATTGGTCTCAATCAGTAATGTGGCATCAGGATCTACTAATTCAGTATTAGTTTCTTTTAAGTCATGGGGCTTTTCATTTTCACTCTTGTCCTCAGCAATATCAACATTGTCAACATGTTCTTGTAATATTACTTCTTTTTCTTGTATGCTTGGATCATTTTGTACATCTGATGATGTAGTCTCTCTAGTTTCTTCACCAGGTTTGTAGCCATTCAATGTTTGTTTTTTGCCTGCTTCAATAACATTTGCATCATCTTTCACAGGAACATCTTCTATGACGTGATCATCAGGTTTTCCAAGTACAGCATAAACTTTGTAAAATGATTTTTTAAGATTGTCAGAGTGTTCAAAGAGTTTATCCACCAGAGTTTTAGAGCTCTCTATCACATCTCTCAACATGGATCCATTTTCAGTGATTTCCTTTGTACATTTTTCGATATCTTCTGTATTACTCACAAGATCTTTTATTTGTGAGAAAGACTCTAATAGGATATTTAACAGCTTCTGAGAATTATCCATGGGTAAGCAATATCTGAAAGAAAATTACAATTTTGACTGTTAAGTTCAACATTTTTCGAATTGTAATGCAGAATTATGAAAATAGCCATACAATATGATGTGTCACTAGTTACAGCAAAGAAATGTTCCCAAATTGATGGTAACGACAATAGTTAATGGACACTGCTGTGAAAGCTTGATTTCCCGCCTCATCAGGATATGCAACAAAGGGTTATATAAAGAACCCATGTACATCTCATGTTCAACATAAACTAAATGTTAGGAAAAAGGAAAAGGCCTTATTAATGAGTCATGAAATTTTGAAATACTCTACCTTAACTTTAGAAAATAGCTGATTTGAAAGCTATCAACACTAACGACAGACCACCATTTTGATAAACGTCAAAAACAAGTTGGGAACAGTGTTGCCATTGCCAATAGCCTTGGTTGCAAATGACTTATTAGGCCCTTTCGTTTGCATAAAAAGTGTATCACATTCGTACACTTCGTGTAATCTACACCGCATTTGAGCATTCTTTTGAGAAGTGCATTTCACACCAGTGTAGTTCATCTCCACCTAGTCTTGGCGTCTTGGGCAAGTGTGAATTACACTCAAGTTCAAGTATGAATAAAATCGCGATGAATGACTCGAAATACATGTTTGAATATATTAATAATTCATAAACACCTATACTGGAGAACCAGTTAAATCAAATACCGAGTTTAAAAATCCAAATTGCACTTTTCCTCTTCAATTCAATTTTATTCGTTCGTTTGAAATTCGTTGGTGTAGCTGCACGAAATATCAGCTGATTTATAGTGTAGTGCATTTGACACGACACTGAGAAGCAGACGAAAGAACCTATTATGCAAATGCCCAAGGCTATGCAAATGCCCACCTTCTCGAGCGAAAAGATCCGAAATTGTCCGATGAGAAAATTCAAAATAACCTACAGGCGGGAAATTAATCCACTGATGAATGAGATTTTCATATCGATTGAGTAGACATAAAAAAGTCATCAAAATATGTGATAAATATAAGAAATTTAATATATATTATACGAAAGCGTAGAAGGGTCATCAAAAATAAAAGAATAAAAGGAATTATTGCAACTTGTAACGTGCAGCAATTCAATTACTGCAACTTACGACTCGCAATAATTCAAAATACTGCAACATACAACTTGCAGTAATTGAATTACTGCAACTTACAACCTGCAGTAATTTGATTCACTGCAACATATAACTAGCAGTAATTCGAAATAATGCAACATACAACTAGCAGTAATTTAAATCACTGCAACTTACAACTTGCAGTAATTGAAGCACAACACAGGTTGAGAAGAAGATTAACTGAGGTTAACTCATAGATCAACTACTCTGTGAACTTAAATACCAGCTAGATTCCATTATTAACACCGTATAGAAGTTTACCATCAAAAGCTTGGATTGCATCCACCTTGTTTTGATATTTTAATACATTTACAGGGGCAATTATATAGGTACCTAATAGAATGGATCAGGATGAGTTGGTTCAATGCGTCGTTTTGCATTGGTGCATGTCTCGTCTCAGAGGCAGAGACCCAGAGAGCAGAGACTGTGCGTGAAACGCACGGTTACTTCTCTTCGACTTCTGACACCTCATTTTGTGTTCTGTGTCTGTGTTGACCTGCCAAAACAGGCTTTCCAAGGCCAAGTGCTAATACTGGTTAGAGGAGTGTTAGAATTACCGCGAGTTGTAAGTTGCACTGATTCGAATTGCTGCTAGTTGTATGTTGCATTATTTCGAATTACTGCTAGTTTATAAGGTGCAGTGATTCAAATTACTGCAAGTTGCATGTTGCAGTATTTCGAATTACTGCAAGTTGTAAGTTGCAGTAATTCAATTACTGCAAGTTGTATGTTGCAGTATTTTGAATTATTGCAAGTTGTAAAATGCAGTAATTGAATTACTGCACGTTACAAGTTGCAATAATTAGATTTTTTTTATTTTCGATGACCCTTCTACTCTTTCGTAATAATATGAGTTTTGCCTACACATATATTATAACAGGAAGCATAAAGAACAGTTATCATAAAATTCAGGCTGTGTCAAGTCATTCGTTCGTTCGTCAATAGTTGACGGTTGACGGGACTCCTATCAAAAGTTAACGTGGTAACTTTGTGGGCAGGTTTGAAACGTGACCGATATTCCCAAACAGCTAGTTGGTCAGACTGATGGTCAGACTTCATACTGAACGTATATGCTCGGTCAAACCACAGATTTGACACAGCATCAGTGTTTTCCTTGTTGTAGGTATGATTCAAGATTAGGGTCCCTTGATGGAAATTGACGTTAAAGTCATCTTAACAGGGTACGGACAGATCATAGCTGCATTCTTTTTTATTGATCTAGAGACTTTAGTTTTGTCTACTGGCATCTCTGACATTGTTGTCACGTCACATCCATGGGCGCTACAGAAAATCATTTAAAATTTTAATAATAGGTATGTACAGGGTATTTATTTACCACTCGATACATCTAGAAATCTCAGAGTAACTACTCCTTTGATTTATTTCCACTACGTGTGACCAATATTTTTAAAACAAAAATTGTTTGCCTGTATGTCACTGTGGTAAATTATTTCTTGGTAATGGAAAGGGTTTGATTCCTTCACTACATATTGTATGTTAATTATGTTCTTCCATAATCACGAGATTTCTGGAAAAAATATATTTTTAGCTTATGTAAAATTCTTCCATATCGTTAGTATTTTTCGAAAAAAAAAATAGCACCTGTATACAAAATATTCCCCCCCCCCCCCCCCGTTCAATTTTATTATCATCATTAGTCATAGATGAAACATTTTTTGTTCGGAAATTAATCGGTTTTAGCAGCATGATTCAACTTATTAGTCATTCATTCGGGACCAGGTGGTAAATCAAGACAGTCTTATATATTAGATGTCATCACGTATGGTCGAATTTTGTGATCGACATCGAAAAATACGCGAAAGGAATTATTTATCGTTGCAAACTGAGTGTTCCCTAAAAACTGAGTAATCGTATTGATTCGTATTGGTTTTTGTACTTCATTCGATTCAATAATAATAATATCGGGATCGTGTGTTGTTCTAGTGTTTCGTGTTGTTTCATCAAAGCCTCACTTTTTTCACGCTGGTGAGTGCAGAGAATTTCTCTCAATTTTTCCTCATATTTCTCTGTATTCATTTAACTTCATTCCCTATACAGGGTATGTCACTACGAGCTTACACTATCTTCAAATCGAGAATCAGTCGGGAGAAATCCATGAAAATGTACATGCTCATATTTCATGTTCGACAATGCAGTGTTGTCGCTTCTACTAGAAAGTAGTAGCAACATTGATATTTCGAACAAAACACCCTATATTTTATCGCATTTTAAGATTCTTCCTGAAGTTGATTTCATCGATTTATCATACTTGGGGTTTATCGAAAATGATTACAGAGATATAGGGTGTTCAAAATCGATATTATTCAACTTTAGGATTTTTTTGTGTCGAAAATATTTATTATCGGTCAAAACGGCTCACATGTCCCTATCTCAACTTTTGTTTCACCATTTACTGATATTTAATCAGAACAGATACAGGGTGGTTCAATATCCAGAATTTTGATCACATGCATATTTTCATGGATTTCTCCCGACTGATTCTCGATATAGAGATAGTGTAAGCTTGTCGTGACATACCCTGTATGTTTCGTACCGATTGTTGTATTTTCTCCGATCCAGGAATACTTTCTTCTGAATTTCGTGCTTCCTGTTCGAAACTGTATCTTTTAAGAATTTACCATCTTCAATAACTGTGATACAGAACGAAATCTTGATTTTGGCCAAATCTTCATCTATGGTCAGGTCATAACTTTTGAACCACTGAGTATAATCGATTCATACTTGGTAGGTATATTTAACTCATATTTTTCATCAAAACTAAATATGAATCGAATTTAGAATCTAGATCCGTCTTCAGGCAAAACAAAAAACTTCTCTTTTTTCAACAGTGCGCATCCAATTTCAAAAACAGTATTTTTATTGAACTCGTTATTCAAAAAATCCAATTTTGTTACAAAAAAATAACCAGTCGTCAAATTTCAACTTAATTAGAGCCAAATTAGGTAAACTTTCGATGGATTTCGTTCCATAGAACAATTTCAATTATTTAAGATATTTTCCAGTGCTCATTACATTTTCACACACACAAATTGATTAAGTATTTTACACTCTTGAATTTTTGTACGTAGATTCATATTCCGAAATTATTCATTTTAGTATTGTCAGTAATTTTATATACATATATATTATACGTCTCCGAAGTTTTTGTGATTGTTTAACACCGGCGGAGTTCTTTCATTTCATTTATTTTTATATCTATCCATTTTGCTTATTTTGTATATAAATATTTTACACTCTTGATGAATTTTTGTACCTACTTTTAGTTTTATATTCCAAAATTATCAATCTTAGTATTTTCAATAATAGCTCGTCAAACGAAATTCATACTTTTTCACCACGTACAAGCAGCATTTGCTGCTTCTGTGGGTTTTCTAATGTTCATTTACCTAATGTTAACTTGCTATCATTATTTCATCCATTGTTATCATTATACCAAATGTCGATTCGGATGCGCGCTTATAAAAAGTAGACCACATTGTTCATTATTTTCCTCTTCTTTCCAGTTAACAAAACATATCTAGATATTTTGGGAAAGATTATATTTTTGGCCTGGGTAATTTTTTTTTAAATCATCAGACTTTCGAAAATAATAGTGTCAGTATATCCGTGTTCAATACTTCATTTTATATTTTCTATAGATAGATAGATAGAAAGATTTATTTGGCTATTTTACAGATAGGTTTACAGCACGCCGAATTTTTTGCACAAAAGAGCAATATTGTCTCATGGTAATATGTAAGAACAATTATTAATATTAACGCATACAACATAATATATATGGGGCATAAAATACGAGTAAATTCAAATCTAAAAACATATTTCAACAAATAAACAAGTAGGTGTATATTGACAACACAGATTGATAATGAAAAGAGATTTAGAACAATCATCAGGAATTCAAAAATTCGGACACAGTATAAAAACAGTTTCCTATGAGACATTTTTTCAGCTCTGTTTGGAGAGTGAGCGCAACTCTGAACTCAACTCATTGTATAGTTTTAAATTGATGGACTTTAATTCCGATATTGTTAATCTGTAACGGGGCAAGGCTATATGGTTGGCTGATCTCGTTCCATATCCATGAATGTCTGAGGAAAGAGTATAATCTCTTCTGTTTGAGTGAATTTCACAGATAGTCTGATAAATGTATAAACAAGGTAGGGTCATTATTCTCATTTCGGTGAATAACGGTCGACAGAGTTTTCTG